TTGAGCCATGACTTAGGATGCCACATCAAACTGTTGGGTTGTGCTTACGTGCCCTGCTTCTTACCCAGCACTTTGTTAATGTGCCTGGGAAAGCAGTAGAAGACAGTCCAGGGCCCAGTCACCCCCGCAGGAATCCTGGAGGCAGCTCCTGGCACAGATCTGGCTTCTGGAGGCACTTGGGGAGTGTGCCAGCAGATGTAAGCGCTCCCACTCTCTTTGGTGCTCTACCTTTCATAAAAATAGCTCTTTAAAAACAATCAGGAGGCGCTGCTCTGAAAGCTGCTTAGAGCACCGTCAGATAACGCAAATAACCAATCCCTGATGTTGTTTGGTAGAGGATTATCCAAAACAGAACACTTGCAGTGGGGCTGGCATTATGGCATGTGGGTTAACCCCTCTGCCAGTGGCAACAGCATATGATACAGCTGTGTTGGTTGAAGACATGGCTGATGTATTTGTTCTGATCCGACTCCCTGATGATGTGCCTAGGAAAGCAGTGAAAGATTATCCAAGTGTTTGAATCCCTAATGTACCAGTGGGAGATCCAGAAGACGCTCCTGGATCCTGTCTTCGGATCAGCTCAGCTCTGGCCATCATAGCCATTTGGGATTGAACCAAAAGATGGAAGATGGTTAAATTTATTTGGTAGTGATAAGAGGATAAGAATGAGCTGTAGAAGGATGAAGGAGTAGATGAGGAAATGAACCAATTAGCAGCTGGGGACCACATTCCTGGGCGTATTCTAAAACCTTGACTGAACCCTTCTGCAGCAGAACACCCCACCCCGCCACAGCCCCCAGCCAAGCCAGAAGCTCCCTGCTTTGCCCTCCCTGGGCCCACTCACCCACGGCCAAGGCAGGTGCCTATCGCAGCTCATGCTTTCCTTTCTCAAATATTCATAATAAAAAATGCTCGTGGGAGGTTGGGTGTTAGGATGCCTGTGCTCCACACTCGAGTCCTAGGTTTAACTTTGAACCCCAGCAGCGGGTTCTAGCCTGCCGATCAGGCAGACCCTGGAAGGCGGCAATGAAGGCTCAAGTAGGTGGGTTGGCTGGATTCCTCCCACCTATGTGGGAGACGTGCGTGGAGCTCCTAGCTCCCTGATTGTGGCAGCGTTTATTGTGGAAGAGATCTCTCACTCACACTCTCTCACCTCTTAAATGAAAATAAATTTTTTGTTATAATGCTGTCATGTTGGGGTGGGCCTTGTGATGCAGTGGCTTAGGCTGCCACTTGGCATGCTGGCATCTCATAACAGAGTGCCCGGGATGCAGTCCTACCTCTGCTTCCAAATCACACCCCTGTGAATGCCCATCTTGGGAAGTAGCGGATAGTGAATGGCTTGAGTATTTGGGTCTCTGTCCCATGCGGAAGAGAGCCGGATGGAGTTTCTGGCTGCTAGCTCGGGCTTGGCTAACTCCAGCTATTGTGAGCATTTGCAGAGTGAACCAGAATATGGAAGATTCCCTCTCTCTTTCTGTTTCTCCTTCTCTCTCTGTAACTCTGCCTTTCAAATAAATAAAACTTTTCTTAAAAAAAAAAAACTTATATGGTACTGAAGTAACAATAGGTAAAAAGAACAGTTCAGTCAACTTAGAAACTGACCCATGTATAAATTGGTTATTTGAAAGAAGTGGCATCCAAATGGCAAAACTAGGGCGAGCCAGCACTGTGACATATCAGGTTGGACTCCCACCTGAAGCGCTGGCATTCTATATGGGTGACAGTTCAAGTCTCAGCTGCTCCACTTTCAACCCTGCTCCTTGCTAACGCTCCTGAGAAATAAACAGAGAATGCACCAAGTGCCTCGGCCGATGGAGAGAGACTCAGAAGAAGTTCCAGTTTCCTGGATTCAGACGAATCCAACTCCAGCTGCTGAGCCGTGTGGAGAGTGAACCACAGGATGAAAGACCTCTACGTGTGTCTGTTTCTCTCTCTTCCTGTGTGTAATTCTGATTTCCAAATAAATAACTTACAAAATTACAAAATGAGTAAAATATGCTCCCTACTTACTCCATGAACAAAACTGCATTTCAGGTGGCCTAAAGAGGTGGATCTCTGCTCCAGCAGCCCGAGACGCCAAGGGCAGAGAAGGTCAAGGGGAAAGGTGTCCTCGGCCACTGCTGCCAGGAAGAAGCAGAGTAGAAGGTGGTGAATCCTGTTTGTGAAAACTAATTTTGGCATTAAGGGGCCAGCAGTATGGCTCAGCAGGCTGATTTTCCACCCTGTGGTGCCAGCCTCCCATATGGGCACTACTTGGGCCCCAGTTGCTCCATTCCCATCCAGCTCCCAGGGAAAACAGCAGATGATGACTCAGCTCCTTGGGCCACTCCACCCACGTGGAAGACTTAGAGGAAGCTTCTGGCCCTTGGCTTCAGATTGGCTTTTGTGGCCCTTTGGGAAGTGATCCAGCAGATGAAAGACCTGTCTGTCTCTCCTTCTCTCTGTAAATCTGCTTTTCAAATAAGATTAATAAACAAATCTTAAAAACACACAAACAAATTTTGGCACTGGACAGGACATCCAACCCAGAAGAGGCCTCACTCATTTTGTCACATGACCCTCCTACATTGTGCTACACAGTCAAGGGCCACCCTCCCTAAGTGGCTGAGAGTGCCTCCTGCCTTTGCCCAGCTCACCCAGGCCCTGAACCACCCAGTAGCTGCTCAGCTCTGCAAGGTGGACTGCAAGTTCAAGTCTGTGACCCGGAGAGGAAGCAAGAGAAGGCAGCAGAGGCTGCTGGTCCAAACCAAGGAGAAAGCTCCTCTCTCAGCAAGTTTAAGTCCTGTCACCACCATGATGGAGAATAAAAAGCCTTGGTGACGGTGATGATGACTGCGAAGGCCATGTGTCTCTACAAGCTGACTGTGTTCCTGCCTGCCCTGTGTCACAAGATGGTGGGTCCCTTGTTGCATCATCCAGGGAAAGGCCTGGCTGCAGTATGGGGTCCACAGAAAGACCTACACCACCTTCACCTTCACCCCAGGGGAGCCTTTGGAAAACAAAGGTGCTTGGCCTGAGCTGGTGAAGCTGCAGAACCAACTACAGCAATGGAGCTGATGAGCCCAGCCCACCCTGGAGAGACCGCATGCTGCATCCAACATGTCCACTTTTTTTTTTTTTAAGTTTTTTAAAATTTTATTTTATATCATTTTATGACACAGTTTCATAGGCTCTGGGATTCCCTTAGCCTCCTCCCTAAGCACTCTCCTCCATATTGAATTCCTCCGTATTATTACAGTAGTACAGTTCATATCCAGTCATGATTCCTTCATTGCGGGTATGCAACATGTCCACTTTCAAATCTGAGGGTCACATGGCCAGTCTGGACCTGGCCAAGGTCAAGACCGAGGAGCTCAGCATGAAGCTTGGGTAAATGCACAGAGTTTGAGTGTTCTGTGCCAACTGAAGATTCTCCCTCAAAAACATAGAAACAGAAAAAGAATAAAACTAATATATCTTTTATTTTTTTACCTCGGATAAAGAAAATTTTCTTTTTAAAAAATTTTACATCTTTTTATTTTTATCATTATATGATAGAGTTCCATAGGCCCTGGGATTTTCCTTATCCCCTCCCCAATTCTCTCCCCCATCACTGAGTTCCCCCATATAATTACTATAGTATAGTTCTTCATACACATTCATGTGTCCATCATTGCGGGCATGGACAATGGCAGAGAGTCCAGCATCCTATTGTCAACATATAAAACAGTTTCATTGGGAATCCATCTTTGTCTGGAAGTAGAGATGCAGACTGCATTGTATCCTCACATCTGGATATGATAGTCTCCATTACACAGTTACTATACATCCCCTTAAATGAAAAGCCACAAAACAAAATCAACAACAGGAAGAAAAAAAAAAGAAATTAACAGCACCATGAAGTTAAATAACATGTGTCGCTGAAGAAATGAAAAAGAAAATCAGGAACCTTTTTGAAGAAAATGTTGCTTCTGTATGATCTATGAGTCATTGAAGAATTTAATCAGAAGAAAGTGTTTTAAAGAGATGAAATAACAAAAAAACATAAAAATCCATGAGATATAGTTTCTGCTGATCTTTGTTGGTGAAATGTTTCTCCTGTAGGCAATAAATAGATGCTTTTTTAATCCAATCTATTAATCTAAGGTGTTTGATTGATGAGTTTAAGCCATTTACATTAATATGAATGGGTGATAATTTGGTCCTGTCATTTTAGCAATGGGCTGTTCATTGATTTAGTCTTCTGTTGTTCTTTTACTGGAATGTTCTTTGCATTTGCCTTTGGTTTTGGTGGGTGCTATTCCCTTTCTCTGTCAACAGAATATCCGTAAGCATCATTTGTAGGCCAGGTTTGGAAGAGGCATATTATTTTAACTTTTCTTGATTATGCAATGGCCAGAGCAAGGAACTCGGAGTCTCCTCCAGGTCGCCCATACAGGTGCAGGGTTCCAAGGCTTTGAGCCATCTTCGACTGCTTTCCCGGGCCACAAGCAGGGAGCTGGAAGGGAAGTGGAGCAGCCTGTATATGAACAGGTGCCCATATAGGATCCTGGCACGTGTAAGGCAATGACTTTAGCCACTAGGCTACTGCACCAGGCCCTCAATAAACTTTAAAAAAATCTTTTCATGCATGGCAATAACCTTGAATAAAGATTAAATTACACTTCCCCCCTTTTGTAGATAATGAATGAATTGTGCTAAAAGCAAGAGATGGTGTTCTTCCCTTTGAAATCCTAAGTCACTCAGATTTCAGTTCGATCTTTGTCTCTTCAAACCTTTTTCCATCTCAGAATGGTGTTTCTAATAAACATTTAGCAGATGATAATGCGTTTTAACAGTAAACTTGTACTGCCCTTACTTGCTGGGTCCATCCTGTTTTTCTCCACCAGGGACTCACTACACTCACGTTGTCCCCCTCGCCATAAGAAGTGCACTACAGGTAGCTAACTTAGTCAGATTTTAAATGAAACTGAAATGAAAGTTCACTTCCTCATTGTTGGAGGCCTCATGTGACAAGTTCCAATTTCTTTTTACAGTCAGTTCAGTTGGAAATCTCCGCGCTGCCCTTGAGATCTTTGAAGAAAGTCCAGCAAGCCAAGGACTCCAGCAATGGAGACACCTGCTCATTCTAGTGTGTAAGTATTATCGGTTTTGTTATTATTATTTTTGGTCCTTAAACACTCTTTGTTTATACTTTCAGCATGTTTGCCTACCAGGTTTTTAATCTTCGGTTTCAGGAAGCTAACTCAACAAGCATGCCATTCGGCTCGTTTGGCATAAAATGAATCGATTTTTGAAAAGTTAATGTGGGAGCGTCTGAGCTTGAGGCAGAAGCACTATATGTTGAAGGTTTTCTTGGTGAAAATTCCAGCTGTTTTTAGACATGGGAAAGAAATTACAATTTCATTGGTGGAAGTTCGTTACTGAATTTTTGTTAATAACTCTTTGTAGAGGCGGTGTTTGAAACAGCAATCACCTTCTTTGCAATAGATATTTGAGCCGTGAATAAAAAGGTTTAAAAAAGGAACGTGACCCAAGGATGCTAAGGCGGTGTGAGGGGCAGGGGTGTCTTCTAACCATCTCTAAAAACTGTGCACGTTTAGGATAATGAAAAAGAATTTGTGTGTTCAGAATTGAGGAAAGAAATGGATTTTTGAGAGTTTGTCCTCTTCCTGGAGAGTCTTTTTTCTTCTTTGAAAGGAGGAAAGTGGATTTCTCGGGATTTGATGGTTAGCCACGTCTGGGAAGTCCCTGCTTTTCCAACCTCCGAGATAGGTTTGGTTTGCCAGATACTGGAAAATCTCTGAAAAATCACTTTTTCGGAAAGGGTAACTGGGTGTTGAGAACAGTGTTTCAGACACAGCTGTGCAGCTTTGCCTTCCGGCTGTGCAGTGCAGACACCTGCCTGCAGAATTCTGCTTTACAGCCTCGTGTCCCCTTGGATGGCTTGGCAGCGCTGTTTCCTGTTATGAACCTGTGACTCTGGGGTCGTGATCCATGCAGCTGATTGCTGTGCCTTCCATTGCCTTGTCTCAAACAGAATCAAGTGGCTGCTTTGGGTACTCCTAGTGTGCTTCTCCAGCACGGCACAGCTGCACAAAGACCCCAGCCTGGACCGCCACTGGCATCTCTGGAAGAAGACCTACAGCAAACAGTACAAGGAAAAGGTACCCCGGGCTGCTCTGAAGCCACACACTTTCACGTCACCACCCTGCGTCCTCCTGCTCAACATGCTGACAAGTAGTGCTTTCAGTAAACACGGTATCCTTGTTTCTTGCCAAATCCTTGCTTGGTACTGTATGGCAGGACACAAAGTCCTTGGCAGGTGTTTATATCAGTGAAGGAGAAAAAAAAGAGATGTATATACAGACAAGCAGACATAGCACAGTAACCATGGCAGAGACGAACAGAGCAAGGCACAGAGCGGGAGAAGTGAGGAGCTGGCACGTGCGTGAGGTGGTCAGAGAAGGCCCCACCACTCAGGCGACCTTCTTGGAGAAGAGAGTCAAAAAGAGCCAGGCAGGGAGGTCACAGGCGGAAGAAAATGAGCGTGACATTGTGAGGAAATTGCCTACTTGGTTTATCAGAGGAACAGAACGCCTTTTCTAGTCCCTGGCCCATGGTAGGGCCACTGTACAGTCTTTCTTCTCTCTCACTTCCTACTTTCTGCTTTGTGTTTATTACAAAGTGCCCTCTTTTTAGACCTTAACTCTATGCTTCAAATGACTGAGTTTAATAACTATACGCTATTTCTCTGTTTATCAATCAGCATCATGTATCTATTTGGTGTTTTTTTTAAAAAGATTTATTTATTTTTATTGGAAAGTTAGGTATACAGAGAGGAGGAGAGACAGAGAGGAAGATCTTCCATCCATTGATTCACTCCCCAAGTGACCACAATGGCTGGTGCTGTGCTGATCATGCAGGCCTCCCACACGGGTGCAGGGTCCCCGGGCTTTGGGTCGTCCAACTGCCTTCCCAGGCCACAAGCAGGGCGCTGGATGGGAAGTGGAGTTGCCAGGATTAGAACCGGTGCCCATATGAGATCCAATTGCATTCAAGGTGAGAACTTTAGGCGCTAGGCTACGCTGCCAGGCCCTTGGCATTTTTGTATAAAAATGACACATAGCGGGTTATGCACTCCAAGTTTTCTGCTTCTTTGCGTATTCATTGTGAACAAATAAGGATATATATTGATGGGGTGCAATGCCATTTTATGCTACATATATGCATTGTGGGATGGTTAACTCAACCCAATCCACATATCTATCACTGTGCACACTTTTCTTGGTGTGTGTTTAGAAATCTACTCTTTTAGACTTTTGAAATACGCATTATTTTGGCTGTAGTTCACCTCTGTTGTTCAAGCATCACTAAAATTTGTGGATCAGTGGTTGCCACAACCTAGCCCAGCTTCTCCCACATCCACCCTGGCTCTTGTAAGCCACGCCCAGTGTGGCTCACTGCCAGACTGTCCCCACACACATGCGGAGGGATGCTGCAGCTGTGTTCTATCAGGTCCACCCCTATTCTGAGGCTCAACAGTGGGAACCGCAACCCAGCAGGGGCATCCCCTTAGCTCCCCTATGACATCTGCTCCCAGCCACAAATCTTGCACGTGCTGTAATTACTTGACCCATCTTGGCCTTTGCTATGGATTCTGCAACCTGGTCTGACCTGGCCTGCCCAGTTCCCAGTCCCAATTCTAGCTGGGGGATGCTGCAGCCTAACCCTTCCCAGCCCACCACAATCCCTGTCTTTCATGCAAATCAATAGGTGTAATAGCCTAGCCCAGCATGGTCCACACTCCATCCTGGCTCCTGAACATGCCAGTGTGCTATGGTTTGTCCTAGCCTTGCCTGGTCCACCCCTCTAGCCAGCTCACACACCTGCCGAGAAGTGGATCAGCCTTGTTGGCCTGACCCACACCCAACCTTGGCTCACCAGTGGGAGCTAATGCCCAGGAGGAGAGTTCCCTAAGTTCTCCCACCAAGCCCACTCCTGGTCCTAGGTCTCATGGATGCCAGCAGGTGCTAGCCCCCTACCTGAACTAGTGTGTCCCACAGTCCCAGCCTTTGTGTGTGCTTATGGATGTTGCAGCCCAACCTGCCCCACATCTAATTCTTAGGTGTGCCTATGGTTGTTGCAGTCTGGGCCAGCCCAGCCTGTTCCCAACCTCAGTTCCCATGAGTGTTGGCCCATCGCCACCCCAGCTCTTGTGCAAACTAGCTCACCCTCTGCAATCCTACAAGGGTGGGCCAACAAATCCCCCACAGACCTGATTTTCCCGTGTGCCAGTTAGTGTCATGGCGCAACCTAACAAGACCCTTTCACACGTCACTTACTGGTGGGTACTGTGGGCTAGCCCTGCCGGGCAGACCCTTCAGCCCTAGCTTTTGTGTGTGCCAGTGGGTGGTGGTCGATGCTAATTAGCCAAGTTCATGTCTCCCACATGGGTGGGTGTATTGATCTGACCCAGAAAGGTGCTCTAGTTTCCTTCCTCCAGATTACCCAGCCTCAGCCCGCTCATTTACCTGCAAGTACAGTGGCCTGGTCAGTCACTTTAAAAAAAGGGGGGGGGGAGAGAAGGAGCCATGCTGGCATACTGGTACAGTTAGCACAGAGTTGGCATGAACCAGGCCCAGGATGCCCACCAGCTATCGGTTACTTTTCTCCCAGCAGTGTAACACTTACCTAGGTACAAGGCAGCCTAGGCAGTTGCCTACGACTGGGAGAAACATTCTATTTTTAATTTGTTAAATTTGTTTTTCATCATGAAAGTAGGTAGAATTTTGTCAAATGCTCGTCTCACAAACTGGTATTGCAATGACCATACGGTTTTCTTGGTAGTGACAGACTTCAAGCTCACCCATCCTTTTTAGGGTTAGATGGGCAGTTAGCAACACCACCAGCCTTAGTGAATGTTGTCAGTCCTTGGCAACTCCAAAATCCAAGAAGAAGGAACAAGATTTTTAAACATCTATTTAGTTGTTTATTTGAGAGAGAACTCACGTGTTGCCATTCACTGGTACCCTTCCCACATGCTTACAGTGGTCAAAGTGGTCGGCAGCTGAAGTCAGAAACCTCCATCCAGATGGGAACTTTGTTACTTGAGCCGGCCATCCATGTCACCACTGCTTCCCAGGGTCTGTGCTGGCAGGAAGCTGAAAACAGGAACTGGGGATTGAACCCAGATGCTCTGCTCTGGGATGTGGGTGACTAACCGCCACCCCAATCAGAAGCTTTGTTTTCAGTTAGAAATTTTCTTTCTTTTTCTTTTCTTTTCTTTCTTTTTTTTTATTAGAAAGACAGATGTACAGAGAGGAGGAGAGACAGAGAGGGAGATCTTCCTTCCGATGGTTCTCTCCCCAAGTGACCGCAGTGGTCGGTGCTGTGCTGATCTGAAGCCAGGAGCCAAGAACTTGTTTCTGGGTCTCCCACACGGGTGCAGGGTCCCAAGGCTTTGGGTCGTCCTCGACTGCTTTCCCAGGCCACAGGCAGGGAGCTGGATGGGAAGCGGAGCTGCCGGGATTAGAACCGGAGCCTATATGGGATCCTGGCGCGGTCAAGGCGAGGACCTTAACTGCTATGCTATAGCGCCAGGCCCTTCTTGTGATTTCTAATCAAAAGGCAAAGAGAGACAGGGAAGACACACAGAGCTCTCTCCCCTGCTGGTTTGTTCCCCAGAAGCCTACAACCTCAGGGACTGGGCAGGAACCAAGAACTCAGTTCAGGTTTCCTGCCTGGTGCCAGGGACCCAGGTGCTTGAGCCATCACTGCTGCTCTCCAGGGCTTTCGTGGACAGGATGCTGGCATTGGGAGCTGGAGCTGGGACTCGAACCCAGGCACTCTAGTACATGATGCACGCATCTAGCATAAATGCCTGCCCTGAGCAGGGCTTTGGATAAGTATTCCTCCATTGTAATGTATCCTAAAGTTCACTTTTTTCCCCTGCCTAGCATAAAAGGTCTTTAAAAGGGCCATGGAAATGCATATCATAAAAAAGGATGTATAAATTGACAAATATTTTCCAAATAACTTTATCTTTGAATTTCATTTTTCTATGAACTTTTTGAAGGACTCCTGTACTTGACTGAACTTTTCTTTATTCTGTTTTTTTTTCCTTTCCAGTGGTTTAGAAGTGTGTGAACAGGCATGCCATTATGTGCACCCCTGGAATAACAGCAAAACCTTGTTCCAAGGGAGATGGACTTGCCTGCATACTTGTGCCCTAGAACCAGGCTCTGGGCCTGGGCTAACTCAGGCAGAGAAGAGGCAATGTAAAGCTGGTAACTTGTGCCCTGGAGTCACAGTTTACAGGAAACTCTGGCTTCAGTAGTGATGGGATAGGCTTTCAGCTATTCTACAAGACATCCATGCGCATTGTAGTCTATGCAAACTCATCACCTAAAGGACACACACACACACACACACGTCAGCAGCCAGCCCATGAAGTCACTGTGGTAAAATGAAAACAGTATAATTAAAAGTGATTTTCAGAGCTTTGGAGGAAGAAAAAAAAATCACCCACATTGATGAACAAAAAATTGCAAAAGTCGAAAATGGAAAGTATGGTCATTGAAATCAAAACACATTCAGGAGGTTAAACTCCAGAGTGGAAACAGTTGGATGCCACCAATAATCTGAAAAACAGAGTCATCTACTCTGAATGTAGTACACAGAAATAAAAATAAAAATCTATGCAAATGTATGTAAGAGAAACGAGAGAGTTTGAGGTTCTAAAACACATTTGGTTGGAATTTCTGATGAAGAGATTTAGTTGGAATTGTGAAGAAGTAATATGCAACTGCATATACTGGTAAAAATATTTTCCACATAGGGGCCTAGCACAATGGCTCCACTGGCTAATCTTCCCCTTGGTGCCAGTTCATATCCCAGCTGTTCCACTTCCAATCCAGCTCCATGATTGGGGCCTGGGTAAGTGGAAGAGGCCTTGGGACCCTGTACCTATGCAGTAGACACTGGCTCCTGGATTCAGATTGGCTCAGCTCTGGCCATTGCAGCCACTTGGGGAGTGAACCAGCAGATAGAAGATCTTTCTCTCTGTCTCCCCTTCTCTGTGTAAATCTAACTTTCTAATAAAAAAAAATCTTAAAGAATTTTCCAGATAGAAGAGATTCCAAGTCATCCTATCAAAAATCTGTAACAGAAGGTAAAGAAAAAACACCAGACCCTTGCAAATGAAATTCCAAAACATGCAAGAAAAAGAGAACATCACTAAAGCTGCTAGAGTGAAGAATGTGAGGCAGGGCTTGGGCTGACGGCAGACCGCTCATCTGCAACAACAGGTGCCATAAGAAATGCAGAAATATTTTCAAACAGCTGAAGAGAAATAGCAATGTATAATCAGCTTAACCCTTTTTCAAGAGTAAGGGTGAAAACACATCATATGAAGGTCTATAAAGTGAGTTTCCCATCTATAAAGAATACAGCTCAACAAGCAACAGGTTTTTATTTTTAAGTATATTCTTAAGTTTTTATTTTTAAGTATTTTTTAGTATAGTAAGGTGGAATTTTATTATCTATATTATAAACTGATTCTAATAACTATCAAAACAATTGAGTACAAGATTAAGAAAAACATCTGGGCTGGCGTAATAACCTAGCAGCTAAAGTCCTCGCCTTAAACACACCAGGATCCCATAAGGGCGCCAGTTGGTGTCCCAGTGGCCCCGCTTCCCATCCAGCTCTCTGCTTGTGGCCTGGGAAAGCAGTTGAGGATGACCCAAAGCCCGGGGACCCTGCACCTATGTGGGAGACCCAGAAGAGGCTCTTGACTCCTGGCTTCAGATAAGCACAGCACCAGCCATTGCAGCCACTTGGGGAGTGAATCAATGGCTGGAAGATCTTCCTCTCTGTCTCTCCTCCTCTCTGTATATCTGGCTTTCCATTATGGATAAATAAATCTTAAAAAAAAAGAATAACATCTGATTTTAACAGTTATATTGGACATATTCATTTATTTCCATTCTCCTGGACAGACTCATTTCTATTTTTGAATGTTTCCTAAAACTATTTTTGTCGTTACATATCAATTTGTCCAGGACACAATGTAACTATATTTTTCTTTCACTTGATACTTGAGAATGAAGAGGCTGCCCGGCGTCTTATCTGGGAAAAGAATCTGAAGTTGGTGACACTTCACAACCTGGAGTACTCAATGGGAATGCATTCATATGATCTCAGCATGAACCACCTGGCCGACATGGTAAGCACATCCCTAAGAAGCCTACTTCCGTGTCTAGGAAAGTGTGATTTCCACCCCACTCCTCACCCCTAGCCCAGGCTCAAAACAATTCAAAGTAACCAACACCACCAACAACGGAGGGCAAAGTTAAATGTGTGCTGAGTTAGAAAGCCAGTAGAATTTAGGCATACACAAATTTGTAAGGAAATTTCTGTTAGTATCATGTGCCTCATTGTAAAAATTATTGTTGGAAAGGCAGATATACAGAAAAGGAAAGACACAAAGAGAAAGATATTCCATCTGCTGGTTTACTCCCCCAGTGGCCACCATGACCACAGCTGAGCTCATCCAAAGGCAAGAGGGTCTCCCATGCAGGTGCAGAGTCCCAAGGCTTTGCACCATCCTCTTCTGCCTTCCCAGGCCATAAGCAGGGAAGTTGGTTGGAAGTGAAGCAGATGGGACACAAATCGGGACTCATACGGGATGCCAGAACTTGCAAGGGGAAGATTAGCCAACTGAGATATCATGCCATGCCAGACCCAGATCACTTTCTTACTCTTTTAAACTTATTTTATTTTTCATGATACCATTCCATAGGCGCAGGAATTTCCCTTCCACCCTCACCATTTTGCCTGTCTGCACTGATTTCCCCTATATACTATACAATAGTGTAGTCCTGCAATAACAATCACGAGTCCATTATTCTGCTATTTAATTGCATCCTGACATTGTAGGCATAGACAATGGTTGAAAATCCAGTATCCTATTGCAAACAGTTTCACTGGGAATCCATCTTTGATCTGGAAGTAGAGATGCATGGTGCAATGTATCTTCACTTCTTGGTATGACAGTCTGTATTATACAGTTCTTCTAGATGAATACATGTAAGTGCATGTTTACCTATGTATCTAGTTACCTTATGTTTTGCCAGATAACTTATGAGTTATAGCGAAATGGTAAACCCGTATACATTATTGCATTATTTATTCATATTTTCGGAAACCTAAAGAAAATGTCTGGAGTTTTATAGTAAATCAGCAAACTTACCTAAGTCTAAGTAGACATTTGCATGCATAATTCACTCTTAAGGCAAGGATATAGCTTTTTTATTTTTTCACAAGCTTTTCTTTTTATTGAAGAAAAACTGACCTAGTCAAAAAACCCAAAGCCCATGTCGACATCAGACTGGTTAGATTCTTCCTCTTTGGCTTCCACTTTCTTCTTCTTGGCTGGAGCAGCAGCAAGGGGGTGGGGGGGCAGCACCTGCTGCGGGAGCGGTTCCACCAGCCCCGACGTTGCAGATGAGGCTCCCAATGTTGACACTGGCCAGGGCCTTGGCAAACAAGCTAGGCCGGAAGGGCTCCACGTTGATGCCAGCTGCCTTAATGAGGGAGTTGATCTTGTCCTCCGTGAAGGTCATCTCGTCCTTGTGCAGGATGAGGGCTGAGTAGTTGCAAGTGAGCTCGGAGACAGAGGCCAAGGCGCTGCCCAGCGCGGTGCTCGTGGCTGGATAAACTGAGGGCCTCATCCCAGCGCGGCCTTAGCTTCCTCAGAAGGACTGAGCACCTTGGCAGCAGCTGTGGGAAAGGGCATAACTTTTCAAAACCATAATCTACTATGAATTTATAGACTCCATCCTATCTCACTAAACTTTACCACTGTGACCAAAGCTTAGAACCATAGTCCTTTTTGGAAGAGAACATCCTTGCAGAATTCCTCCTTAACTGTAGGGGTTGGTTTCTTTTGTAATTCTTTCCCACCAAGGAAACCAGTTTGGCCTCCTATCTTAACAACCATTTAGAAAATTCTACCTCATTGTAAACCAACCATTGGCTTCCTTGTAACTTCTGGTTGTCACCATTTTCTTTTTCTCTGTCCCAGTGAGATTGCCTAACTGGGAAGCTAATGCCAAGTGCATGACTATGGGAAACCCACGCTTTGCCCAACCAGATGGACAAGGGTGCCTACCACAGTCACAACCACAATTGGCTTTTCTAGATCCTAAAATATATTCACCATGATAGACATTGGGCTATAAAGAAAAGAAGACCCTAATTGAAAGGGCTGTGTATTTGCCTTGTAGACCAGTGAAGAAGTGTTGTCTTCGATGACTTCTCTGAGAATTCCCAGCCAATGGTCGAGCAATGTCACTTTCAAGTCAAACTCTAGTAAGAAGTTGCCAGATTCAGTGGACTGGAGAAAGAGCGGTTGCGTTACTGATGTGAAATATCAAGTGAGTAACCCAAATCTCTGTCCCTAGGGGATCCCCTGTCCCAGATGCTTAATCTAGTGACCAATTTCATGGGAAATCTCACAGTCCCTTCCTTAGCTATGGAATCAACTTTCTTTTTTTTTAATATCTTTTATTTATTTATTTACTTATTTGAATCAACTTTCATTATCCTCCTCTTCTTAAAGAAATTGTAAATGCCCATAGGGCAAGGATCACCTATTACACTTCACAGATAATCTCCCCAGGGCTTAGGAGCACCTGTGCCTGGGAGCTGCCTTTCACCAATGTGTGCACTGAGCCACCGGGGCTCTCAGATGAATTTTCAGGGCAGTGCTTTATTTTAGCTATTGGCTGAATTGATCTCCCATCAAGCCACTTTCCCCAAAAGGAGTGTCTGGCATGTGAGGAGCCTGCGTAAGAAGTTTCTCCATTCTCACTTGTAAATGTCAAGGCTAAAGGAGAAGAAACAGAACTTGGTGGTGGCTATCCATTGGACCGGAGAAGCACACAGGAGGCTAGGCTTGTGTGAACAGAGCAGGGATTGTGTGTTTTGTAAAATGGCTGCTCCTATATTGTCATTTAATTTTCTTACATTTTAAATTTTTTAAAAAAGATTTATTTATTTATTTTATTGGGAAGGCAGATATATAGAGAAAAGGAGAAACAGAGAGGAAGATCTTCCATCGCTGATTCACTCCCCAAGTATCCTCAATGGCCAGATCTGAGCTGGTCTGACACCAGAAACCAGAATCCACGCGGGGCAGGATCCCAAGGCTTTGGGCTGTCCTTAACTGTTTTCCCAGGCCACAAACAGGGAGCTGAATGAAAAGTGGAATTACCAGGATATAAATTGGTATCCATATGGATCTTGGTGGATGCAAGGCAAGGGTTTAGCTACTAGGTTATTGTGCTGGGTCCTAATTTTTAATTTTTAAAAATTAATTTAAAGTTTTTAAAAATTCATTTGTGACTGTTGCTATGGCACAGGGGGTGAAGCTGCCGTCTCCAATGCCATCTCATATAAGCACTAGTATGAGTCCCACCTGTTCCAATTCTAATCCATTTTTCTGCAAATATGCCTGGGAAAGCAGCAAAGGATGACCCAAGAACTTGAACCCATGCACCTACCTTTAAAATAAATAACAAAGAGAAGTCAAAAATGCAATTTAAAAAAATCTGAGAGGGCCCGGTGCCATGGCCTAGTGGCTAAGGTCCTTGCCTTGAACATACCAGGATCCCATATGGATACCGGTTTTAATCCCGGTAGCTCCACTTCCCATCCAGTTCCTTACTTGTGGTCTGGGAAAGCAGTCGAGCATGGCCTAAAGCCTTGGGACCTTGTGCCCACATGGGAGACCTGGAAGAGCTCCTGGCTCTTGGTTCAGATCGGCGCAGCACCAGTCTGTGAATCATTGGATGGAAGATCTTTCTCTCAGTCTCTCCTTCTCTCTGTATATCTGACTTTGCAATAAAAATAAATAAATCTTTTTTAAAAAATCCGAGGGCAAAAGGATGTATTTGTTTATTTAAATGTCAGAGTTATAGAGAGAGGGAGAGATCTTCCATCCACCGGGTCACTTCCCAAATGGCCACAATCGTCAGGGCAGGACACAGCTAAAGGTTTTACTGGTACCCCGAAGGTGTCAATACAAGCACTTGGGCCATCTTCTGCTGCTTTTCTCAGGCTGTTAGCGGGGAGCTGGATAGGAAGTGCAGCTGCTAGTATTTGAATCAGCACTCATATGTGATGCTGTCATGACAGGTGGCGACCCCACCTGCCATACCACAATGCCAGCCCTGGTTTGCTTGCTATGAAAAAGCTACCAAACTCCTCATTTTCTTAGAGATAACTAAGGGTAAAGCACATGTGAAACCTCAGAGGCAAGGGAGAAGAACCATAGCATTTGGAACAGCTGCCCCAGCTGTAGCCAAAGAAGAAGCAGAAATGTTCCAAAAATTGCATGATAAGTCTAATCTCTTACTGTTTACATCCTTTTAAATTTTTATTCTAATATAATTTTCTCTTTTTAAAAATATTTATTTTTTTGAAAGGCAGAGTTACAAAGAAAGGGAGAGACAGATCTGCCATCCATTGGTTTACTCCCAAAATGTTCACAGCATCCAAGGCTGGGCAAGGGCTGGGTCAGGCTGAAGCCAGGAGCCTGGAACTCCCACTGGGTCTCCCACGTCAGAGGGAGATGGGTCAGACATGGAACAGCTGAGACTCAAACCCGTGCCTATATGGGCTGCTAACGTTACAGGTGGCAGCTTAACCTCCTGCATCACAATGCTAATCCCATTCCTACCTATTTATTTTGTTTTCAACTACTCTTCGGTTTCTTACCCAAACTTCCATAATATAAAAGTTAGGAAGGCTCTCTATATAGTCAGATGTTAACTCAGTAATTTAGTGAGCTTGTGTCCCTGATTGTTTGAATTTTTAAAATTTGTATTGTTTGATTTATTTGAGTAGTAAAGAGAGGGAGAGACAGAGTTTTCTTCTGTTACACACACACACACACACACACACACACATAATTGTTGATGATCTACGTAGTTGAGAAGGATGCATTCCCATGCAGTCCCCCTTCCCACACACCCCCAAGCCCGCCTCCCAGGACAAACCACATGCACTGCGTCTGTAGCCAAGTCAGGCTCCGGGCCTGGTCTTCCCTCCTTGTGCGGAGTATGCCTCCTGGGGTCTGCCACCCCTACCCACTGTTTTACTCCCCAAATACTTAGAATTATCACGTTGGGCCAGGACCAAAGCTGGAAGCTAGGAACTTAATCTAGGTCTCTCATATGGGCAGCAAGAACATAATTACTTAAACTTTCAGCTGCTGCCTTCAGGGTATGTGTTAGCAGGAAGCAGAGCCAGGATGAACCCAGGAACTCCAATGTGAGATGTGCCGGGCATGTCAGTCAACATCTTATTTGCTAGGCTCAACTAGGCCAAGCACCTGCTCTCGCTTGCATTTTAATGGAAAATCTTTAACCAATAGCAGCTTGCTTTCTTTGGGAAAGGCAAAAGGAAGGGAAAAAGGAGAGAAGAAAAATTGTTGTGATGGTCATTCTACATCTTTTAAACTAAAGCGGATTAAAAGTTTTCTGTTTGTACCTTCTTGTAAAATGACATTTGATCACATCTCCAAGGATAACTGTATATGGAAAATGCTGAATTGGGGCCAGTGTTTGTCATAGTGGGTTGCAACACCAACATCTTATAAGGGGACTGATTTGAATCCCAGCAGTTCCACTTCCAGGCCAGCTTGCTGCTAATGTGCCTGGGAAACCAGCAGCGAATGGTCCAAGTACTTGGGCCGTTGGAACCCAAATGGGGCACCCAGATTGAGCTCTTATCTCCTTGCTTTGACCTGGCCCAGTCCCAGCCATTGAGGCCATTTGGGGAATGAATCAGTAGATGGAAAATATCTCCATCTCGGTGTCTGGGTATGTCTGTAAGATCTCTCTCTCTCTTTCTCACTCTCTCTCTTACTCTGTGCGTGCGTGCGTGTGTGTGTGTGTGTGTGTGTGTGTGTGCATGTCTTTCCTTTTTTTTTTTTTTGGTAACTCTGCCTTTCAAATAAACAAATAAATCTTTTTTTTAAAGGAAGGATTCCTATTCTTTTAAATTAAAATAAAATGCTTATTTGAAGTTAAACCTTTTATGTTCCAGATGCCACATGGGGGCATGGAAAGTATGTTAGGGCAAGGAGATCATCCCTCTCCACTTTAAAGTCACGTTATTGTAAGCATCTAGCCCCCTTACTTACGAGTGAAGACAGGAAGGACTTGAACATGTTCAGTGAATATTGTTTCTCAATATATTTTAATATGTCCCTTAGACTTTGAGCTCAGTCACTTGCAGGTCTTTTATGATGCTTCAAATTTATTTAAGAGGCAGGGGGATACACATGAAGAAACAGGGGAGACAGAGAGAGAGCATGTGCAAGCGAGTTCTAAGCTGGTGGTTGATTCATACCCCCAAATGTCAACAATGGTCATGGCTAGGGCTGAGCAGGGCCTAAAGTGAGAGCCAGTACCTCAGTGCAGGTTCCCCACATGCGTGACCTCAACTGAGGTCACCAGGGCTTACACTGGAGGCAAGAGACAATAGGTAGAGTCAGTGGTTATCTAACCCAGGAGCTATAAGATGCATCAAAGGCCTCTTAACTGGTGCCTAACCACTAGGCTAAATGTCACCATTTGCAAGCCTTCACCAAGGCTAGACCTTGTCCGGAGAACAAGTATTTGGTCTCCATTCCCATAGTCTAAGAGAAAAGGCAATAGTAACAGGACAGCTTTTCCTGGGAACTAGGCCAGCAAGTCCCCACGTGATGTTCTTGATTGTCAAACCTTGCTGATGCCTTGCCTTTGTGACCTGGTTTCTGTTTCAGGGTTCCTGCGGGTCCTGCTGGGCCTTCAGTGCCGTTGGGGCCCTGGAAGCGCAGCTGAAGCTGAAAACGGGCAAGCTGGTGTCTCTCAGTGCTCAAAATTTAGTGGATTGCTCAACGGCGAAATATGGGAACTTAGGCTGTGAAGGTGGCTTCATGACACGGGCTTTCCAATACATCATCGACAATAATGGCATCGATTCAGACGCCTCCTACCCCTACATAGCCAAGGTGCGTCACAGGCAATGGTGAGGCACCATGTCATGCCTGTCTCACCACCAAACCAATGGCTTGGGAAAGTGTGTGTGAGAGAACCCCATCAGGAATTCTGAAATTCCCGAGTTCTTAGACCTTTTCAATTTATCAATGGAATAATGTCCTTTTTTTTTTTTTCTAAGATTTGTTTGTTTATTTTAGAGTTACAGAGGAATGGCTTACTTCCATCTGCTGGTTCATCCCCCTAGATACTTACAACAGCTAGGACTGGGCCAGGCCAAAATCAGGAGCCAGGAATTCCAACAAGGTCTCCATGTTGGTGGCAAGGGCCCAAAAACACATGAGCCATTTTCCGCTGCTGGATCAGAAGTGGAATATCTGAGACTGAAACTGACACTCCGATATGAGATCTAGGCATTGAAAGCAGCAGCTTGAGGCTTGCATGACAGCTCAACTGGCTAATCTTCCACACAGGAGGTTAAGCCGCTGTCTGCAGTGCCATCCCATATGGGTGCTGGGTGGTGTCCAAGCTGCTCTACTTCCAATCCAGCTCCCTATTTATGACCTAGAAGGTAGCAGATGATGGCTGAAAGCATTAGGACACTGCACCCACTTGGGAAATCCACAAGAAGCTCTGGCTCCTGGCTACAGATAGGTTCAGCTCTGATTGTTGAGACCATTTGAGGAGTGAATCAGCGCATGGAAGATCTCTCGCTTTCTCTCTGTATCTTCTCTCTGTAATTTCACTTTCCAATAAAAACACATAAGTCATTTTTTAAAATTAAAAAAGAAGTAACAGCTTAACTTGCTATGCCATTGCACCTGCCCTAGAATCATAGTTTTAAACAAGTCGTATGTTTTCAAACAAACTTTAAGCAAAACATCCTTGAAAGTCTTTCTGTATGTCCACCTCATTTTTAAATGTTTTTTTTTTTGTTTTGAAGAATTGTTCATTTATTTTAAAGACAGAGTTAGAAACAGAAAGAGAAAGAAAGCTCTTTACCCATAAGTTCACTCGCTGGAAGGCTACATTTGCCAGAAGCTGAGCCAGGTTGAAGCCAAGAACCAAGAACTACATCCATGTGTGCAGTTGGCAGGGGCACAAACACTTGGGTCATCTTCTACTGCTTTGCCCAGGCCATTGGCAGGGACCTGAGTCAGAAGTGGAGCCCATCAGCAGATGCCAGTCTCACAGGCAGAATCTTTACCTGTAGTACAATAGTGCCAGCCCCAATGATTAAACTTGCCTGTACTGCAATGGTGCTAAACTTCACTTTCAGATCAGCAAGTATATCACTCTTCCCTTCCCCTCCTCTGCCTCACATGTCCATTACAAATGTGCCCATATTGCAGAAATATTTAGAAAAGAGGAAAATATCAATCAAAAAGCCTACCTCAGCCATGATTAATTTGGTTTATTTCTTTCAAACTCTTCTCCTGTTGTATATTTTAAAAAGCATTCCTGTATATACAATAATCATGAATTTGTACCTTCCCTTTGCCCAGTTAAAGTCTGTTTTCCATATTACACATCTATATAAACCAACATTTAAAGTGCAGATCATAAGGAATCCATCAGGCAAATTGGGATGTATAGTGGTAGAGTAATGGAGACTACCATATCCAGATGTGAAGGCACAATGCAACAAGCATCTCTGCTTCCAAACAAAAGATGGACTCCCAATGAAGGTGTTGGATGTATCTAGACAATGGAATGATGGACTGTCTGACATTGTCTGTACCAGCAATGTCGGGCACACTTAAATAGACTGATGAAAATGTAACTCCTTATAAAGAGTTGTTACATTATGGGAAAAATCAACTGGGGGGGTGGAAATTGGAGGGAGGGGGAATTCCAGACTATACAGAATTGTATGATAAATTTCAAAATTAATTAATTGATTAACAGCAGGTCTTGCAGGCATCACCTCATCAAAAAGATTTTAAAGCTCTAGAGTTTGTGGCCTTTGTGTTGGATTCCCTTGCATGATATCTCAGAAAAGACATTGTCCTAAGAAGTCCTGAATGGATGGAAATATTCATAATGTACACCAGTAGAATGACTCTGTCTTTCCTGTTATTGGTAAAATCCAGAATCGTTAAGACATGGAAGATCCGGGCCTGGCATGGAAGCCTGATGGCTAATGTCCTCGCCTTGCACCCGCTGATCCCATATGGAAGCTGGTTCTAATCCCAGCGGCCCCATTTCCCATCCAGCTCCTCCTGCATGTTGCCTGGTAAAGCAGTCGAGAATGGCCCAAAGCCTTGGGACCCTGCACCCAAGAGGGAAACCAGAAAGAGGCTCCTGGTTCCTGCCTTAGAATTGGTGCAGCTCCGGCAATTGCGGCCACTTGGGGAGTGAATCAATGGGCAGAAAATCTTCCTCTCTGTCTTTCCTCCTCTCTGTATATCTGCCTTTCCAATAAAAATAAATAAATCTTAAAAGAAAAAAAAAAGACATGGAAGATCCAATTTTTTTCTTTAAAAGGTAGGAGATCTAGACATTTGAAGAGTAAAGTGAAGGAAGAACTGTATTTCAGATCCAGACTCTGGATACTGGTGATTTACAAAGGAAGTTCAAGTATATTTCCTTATCTGATTCATATTTTATTTTATTGTTTTGTTTTGTACAGGCTGGACAGTGCAAGTATGACTCAAAAAACCGTGCTGCCACGTGCTCCGGATACGTTGAACTTCCCTCGGGCAGCGAAGAGGCCTTGAAAGAAGCTGTGGCCAATAAAGGACCTGTGTCTGTTGCTATCGATGCAAGTCATTCTTCTTTCTTCCTCTACCGAAGTGGTAAAGACTCACTTGGATCATTCTCTTATGATACCCTGCTCTCACACTGTACAAAAGAATATTTTCCTTTGCCGTCACTCTATACTCCTCCAGTTCACGTGTATTTTCAATCCAGTGACACTTAGCCGAGCTTCCTGATCTACATGCCAGGTGCTACACCACATGGTTTACCTGCTATATCTCACTTAAGCCTCACAATAATTGTAAGTCTTAAAAGATTTATTTATTTTTATTTGAAAGGCAAATACGGAGAGCTCTTCCATCCACTGGTTCACTCCCCAAATGGCTGCAATGGTAGGAGCTGAGCTGAGCCAGGAGCCACTTCCGATCCCCCACACAGGTGCAGGGGCCCAAGGATTTGAACCATCCTCCACTGCCTTCTCAGGCCACAAAGATGGAGTTATATTGGAAATAGAGCAGCTGGAACTAGAACCAGCACCCATACGGGATGCCAGCACTGCAGGAGAAAGATTAGCATGCTACGCCATTGTGCTGACCCCACAATAACTGTATTTTACAGATGAAAACATAACCAGAGGAGTTAATTTGCCTGAATTCATACAGGATAAAAGTGGTTGAGCTAGGACTGAAATGATATGACTAGACTACCGAGCTTGCCCACTGAGACTTTACAGTGTAGGCGTAGCGTAACAGGGTATAATATAACTATGCTAAACTGAATGGCATATTTTTAATCTAACCACTAAAGCTGCCATGGTGTTAGACTAAGTTGAAGGTTACAACTGTATGTGTTTTAAGATTTATTTATTTATTGGAAAAGCAGATTTACTGAGAGAAAAGAAACAGAATGAGGTTTTTCATCCACTAGTTCACTCTCCAAATGGCTGCAACAACTAGAGCTCTGCCAGTCTGAAGTCAAGAGCCAGAAGTTTCTTCTGGATCTCCCACGTGGGTACAGAGACCCAAAGCTTTGAGCTGGATTGGAAGTGAATGTGACAGGACTTGAACCAGTGCCCATATGGGATGCTGGTGGCACAGGCAGAGGTTCAGCCTATATGCCATGGAGCCTGCCCTGAAATATATATATATATATATATATATATTTTAATTTCACCTTAGAGAGCACTTACTTTAGGTAAGAGTGAAATGTGTGGAACAATTTAAAAATATATGCAAAAAAGCACAATAACTGTATAGAAGTTAAAATAATTAGAGAAAAGTGGTATATTATCAAAGAAGGCTTTTGAGGGTACTAAACTGATATGACTACAAGAAAATTGACAAATACAGCTTTAAGGCAAAGAATTTTAAACACGAAAGGGTTTGCGAGTTTATGTTCTTAACATAATTAACTTTGCCATATATACAAAAGAGTGTAATAAAAGTAGTAACATTGTCAAATGTGCTTAATTGCCATATAGCATTTAGCCTTCTTGCCCGCCCACGTTTCATTTGCAGGTGTCTACTATGAACCGAACTGCACTCAGGAGGTGAATCATGGAGTACTAGCGATTGGCTATGGTAACGCTGACGGGAAAGACTACTGGCTTGTGAAAAACAGGTAATCATTTGAATAATAACGTGGGGCTTTTTTTTTTCATTATTGGAAAGTCAGACATAAACAGAGGAGGAGGAAAGAGAGAAAAATCTTCCGTCCATTGATTCACTCCCCAAGTGGCCGCAACTGAGCTGATCCGAAGCCAAGAGACTCTTGTGGGTCTCCCACATGGGTGCAGGGTCCCAAGCCTTTGGGCTGTCCTTGACTGCTTTCCCAGACCACAGGCAGGGAGCTGGGGCTGCCAGGATTAGAATTGGCACCTGTGTAGGGTCCTGGCATGTGCAAGGCGAGGACTTTAGCTGCTAGGCTATAGCGCCGGTCCCCAATAATGGGTTTTTAATTAAACCAGGGATTCACAGTACACTGAATCAGTGCTCTCTTGTGATTATGGTAACGAAGCTTATATCAGCAATGCTAAACACTTTTACTTCCCATATAAAGTGACATTTCAAGTCATTCAGATTCCTCATTTCTTCACTTTTTATTTGACCTTCATATCTTTGTTTCCATGATTTATCTTGTGCAGTATTTCTCTAATTGTTCTTTTCTAGTCTCCCTTGTGAATACTTATTCTACTTCGTCCCTAAATGTTGATACTTCCCAGGGCTTTGTCCTCTGCTGATGGCTCCTCTAATTCTCCCTTTTCCTTGGGGATCATCATCTGTCCTTATGCCTCTAACTGTAACCTACCTATGCAAATGCAACAGCAAGTAGCACAGTTACCCAATAAAACAATGTGGAGCTATTCTGGATCCTTCCAGGTACAACCAAGCAACAAGTCAAACACATTGCACCTCCTATCTGTCCTTGATTCCATTCCTCTTCCACTTGTTTCTATTACTGATTAAATTCGGACACTCCTCGTCACTGTGTAGCCAGACTCCTGTACTCTCAGGCTCGATTTTATTGTTGCCGAAGTGCTGTGGCTCAGATATGAATGTGTCTGGCTTATAATTCTTTTGTTCCTTACTAGAGCATGTGTCTTCTATGTTATAGGTCTGATATTATGATATAATGCCTGATGAGAAAAGTCTTGCTGTCAGTTTAGGCAACCCTTCTCTTGCTCAATCCATATATTCCTGCCCACCCAGACTCTGAATCACGTGTTACGTGTACTTTCTGTTTTCCATCCCCAGTAGCCTTCCTGTAATTCTACATAGCTATGGCGAAATCCTAAAATACAGGGCATGCCAAACTGTGCTCAAAACTTCTCAAAAGTTCATCATTGTCATTAAAATAAAGTCTGAATTCCTGGCCAGGTAGCCAAAGCTTCTCCATTATCTAGTTCCCAACATAGTTTTCTAGACATTCCTTCTACTATATTCTCTTATATCACATTCACTCTGGCCGCAGTGAACTATAAGCTCCGTTATTCCTTAAATTCACAAATGTTAGCTGTCTCTGTTTCTTTATGTACATTCTTTCACCCTTCTAATGTCCTTGAAGACCATTGTCGCCTCCAGAAATTCCATTTGTTGAGGACCAAGGGAGTACTGTCATATATTCTAGCAGGAGAAGAAATGATTCGATTTATTCCTGAAAACAATGTGATATTGTAAAAAAAAAAAACACACACACATTTTAAATGTTTAAATTCTTTGTCCTGTCATTTTCATACTTGGATTTTATGTGAATAAAATCTAGGGAGTAAATCATCAGATGGAAGATCTTTCTGTCTGCCTCTCCTTCTCTCCATAAATCTGATCCAATAAAAATAAATAAATCTTAAAAAACACACACACATAGTCTCGGCGTGGCAGCTTAGTAGCGGTTAAGGTCCTTGCCCTGCATGTGCAGGGATTCCATACGGGTGCTGGTTCACGTCCCAGCGGCCCCATTTCCCGTCCAGCTCCCTGCTTGTGACCTGGGAAAGCAGTCGAGGACAGCCTGAAGCCTTAGGACCCTGTATCCACGCGGGAGACCTGGAGGAAGTTCCTGGCTCTTGGCTTCAGATCAGCTCAGCTCTAGCCATTGCAACCACTTGGGAAGAGAATTAGTGGATAGAAGATCTTCCTGTCTCTCCTCCTCTCTGTATATATAACTTTCCAATAAATAAATCTTTAAAAGCACACATATGCATACATAGAGCAAAATAAGATCTGAGAAGTATTCAGAGAGGGCTGACACACAGAATAGTTAAGGCCTCTAAAGCACATCTCCTTTAAATGATGTCACATGTCTTCCAAAGCAAACACATTTTCTCCACTGCTTGGGAAAACACAACTTCCCTTTGGGCCATGAGCTAACATGTGCACGGACTTCCTTCTCTCTGTGAAACTGATGTCAGCATTTCTTCAGCCCCAAACCAACTTCCTGTCCTTGTTCCTCATTGTGCCTCTCAGGATACCCAGCTTTCCTTTCCACTCAGTATCCTGCTGCTCACCCAACTCAGCAGTCATTGTTCTGAATGTCACACTTTTAATTGTATCCAACTCGATGCACTTCCCCAGATCTGCCCATTGTCACTTGTAACTTTGTGCTCTTTTTCTGAAGCTGGGGCCTCTACTTTGGTGAAAAAGGATATATTCGGATGGCAAGAAATCATGGAAATCATTGTGGGATTGCCAGTTACTGCTCTTACCCAGAAATCTAAGAGAATCTCTCTGCATAATCACTAAGCAAGAATGACAGAGCACTTCCTTTGTTTTTCATGCTGCATCCAGAAAAAAGAAGTTCCATGATCAACAAGCGTACTAATCAGAAAATGTAGCTTGATTCTTCACTTCTTATACTTAGTGGAACAAACTTTGCTAAGTCACTAATGATATACTACAGAGAAAACTGCATGAGGATTGTAAGGCAATACGCTGTATTTGTCCTTGTTTTATTTTGCACTCTTTAAGTCCCCTAACAGTCTTTTGTAACTTAATAGCTGAAAAATGTTTAATAAATGTGTCATTTTAAACTTCTATCATTGGCCTAGTTTTCTTATTCTAAGGTAACTGTCAAACTCTTATGAGAATATTCATGGTGATAGGTTGGTTGTGGCTAAGGCAACTTTGGTGGAAGAAAATATTAAATTGATAAATATTCTGAGGGCTGATATAACATATTTGCACATAAAAGGAATGAATGTTTTTCAATGAGAAGATGTATACAAGTCCTTAAAAGACTGTTTTTTCAAGCACTCTGGAAGCATTGGCTTGATGATTGACAGTATTTGACCTGGTCCTGGGTGAGCAGCAGTGAACATCCAACGGACATCTGTTATCCATCTTCTTGCATCCAGTCTTTTAGCCAAGAAGAGTGACAAGCCAGATATACACACACACTCATCCTTTGGTGGAAACTATCCAGCAACAGAAAGAGTCCGTTCCAACATCATAAAATAGGAGTTCCAGACCCAATGCAACAGCTCAATTGACTAATCATCCCCCTTGCAACTGCCAGGATCCCATATGGGCGCTGGTTCATGTCCCAGCTGCTCCACTTCCCATCCAGTTCACTGCTTTAGCCTGGGAAAGCAGTAAAGATGACCCTGGACCCATGTGGGAGACCTGAAAGAAGCTCCTGGCTCCTGGCTTTGGATAAGCTCAGCTCTGGCCATTTCAGCCATTTGGGGAGTGAACCGGTAGATAGATCTTTCTCTCTTTCCTTCTGTTTGTATATCTGCCTTTCCAGTAAAAATAAATAAACATTAAAGAAAAAATTAAAATTAAAAGAAAAAATGAGGAGCTCCTCCCCCCAAGAGCAAATGTCAACATGGGCTTCTCTGTAAATCTATGCCTTGACAGAGATTTTAGGTATCTTCTAATTTCTTGTCACCTATATTCCCTTGCAGAGAGCTCAGGACTATATCTTGCTTCCTTAAGTTCATTTTTAAATTTCCCATTGATACCCTAATTTCAAATAGCCCATGCTATCCGTGTCACCATGAATAACCTCTGTGTGTGTATATCCTTGACCCCTTTAAGATAAACCAGTTTGAACTTTCTATAATGGATGCTTCTACTGTATCACCATTTTCAGGAAGTTGCATAATTTGACAGCTTCTCATGGTTTATTTTCATTTCTTATACAATAGTAAAATTCTAACTCTAAGTATTATTTGAAAAAAAGATCAATGATATACTACTTAGTTAAAATTATTTTTAAGTAGTCACCTATAAGTCGACCAGAACCCTTTTAGAAAAAATAACTGAACTAACTTGAATAAAACACAACTGCAATTCTTTTTAAATATTTAATTAGACTTTTATTTTTCATTATTTGAGAGAAAAACAAACTAAAGCAAGAGACATCTGTGTGAGTGCTCCCACTCACTCTTTCACCTTGCAAAAGCCTGCAAGGCCAGGGCTGCGCCAGCCAAGAGAAGGAGCTGGGAACTCAATCCGAGTAGTTCACAGGGGTGGCAGGAACACCAGGCACTTGAGCCACCGCTGCACTGTCACCCAGGCTTTGCAGTAGCAGGGAGTTAAGGAGTCAGCAGCTGGAGATGAGTGTCAAACCCACACACAGTAATACAGCTCACGCACACCATGACCCCTAGGCCAAACCCCTCTGCACACTACTGCTCGTATTTCTATCAAATTCAGTTGAACCTTCATCACAACTTCTCTGGATTAGAAAGCTGGTTCTGAACAAGCAGCAGGAACTATTTTAAAATTTTATACCTATGTCATGAAAAAAGCATGTGGGATGTCATTAAGATGTCCTAAACTGATGAAACTAACCCCACTGTCTCTGGTTTCTTTTTCAGAAAGTACATTCTTTTATTATTATTATTATTATTATTATTTTAAGATTTGTTAATATTTTTTGAAAGGCAGAGTTCCAAAGAGGAGAGACAGAAAGATCTGTCCATTCCCCAAATGGCCACAACAGCTGGAGCTGAGCCCACCCAAAGCCAGGAGCCAGGAGCTTCTTCCTGGTCTCCCACATAAGTACAGGGTCCCAAGGCTTTGGGCCTTTGGAATGTGAGGAAGGTAAAAGGAATGTTTATTAGACTAAGGTTTTTGCTATCTTTGAGACTGAAGACAAAGAACTGCTAACTGAGAGCCTGTTGGCTGCTGGTGGGTGCCAGGCCGGGACAGTCTGCATGCTCAGAGCCCCGATTCCAGCCACTGCATCCTTGTGGTGACCTGTCTCTGGGCGGCTAGTGTGCCATTTGGCACCAGGCCCCCCTGCTGGCTGCCTGGGCGGCTAGCTCTGGGGTTTTGGGGCTTTGAATTGCTGTTTAGGTAGCTCCATGTTAAGCCCACTGTACATCTGAGATGTCAATCAATCCTAAAGACTCCCAATGACAGAGTAACTTTTCCTTTGAAGGTAAGGGAGGGTAATGAGACCTAGTAGGTTGGAGGAGAGGGACCACATGATCTTTATGGATAAGACTGATATACCTAACTCCTTTAAATCTACTATAGTATTTGCAATCACTGAACAATGATGACCACCAAATACCAGTCCATGCAAAAGCTAAGGCTTGGGACTTGTCTAGCAGGATCATATCCTATTACCTGTCATGACGAAGAATCAGGAAATGGATCATATTAGACAGGGCTATGACATTAACTAGCACAGGAGAGAACCACATCCGGGGGTAGATGCTGTGGGGGTATGTGGGCCAAACCCTGTGGAAATACTAGACCCACTGGTTAGCTCAAGAGTTGAAGGGGTGATGGCTAAACTAGGTGTGACCAAGGAGCTTGCCATCAATCACAGGTAAAGGAACCCACAACAGTCTGGACTGGTCAAGGCAGCAGCACCCAAATGTACATTCTGAATAGGGTGTGGGGTGGGCCAGGCTGCAATGTTCACCAGCTCAAACAAGGCCAATTGGAAGGCCAGACTTCGCCAGAACCTGGCCTAAACCCAGGGGAGAACTGGGTCTGGGAGTGGGTCAAGTGGAAGAACTTGAGAAACTCCCCTGGCTGGTCACATCTCCCGCTGGTGAACACATGGTCCAGACCTGGGGGTCGGACAAGCTGGGCAAAGTAGCAAAAAAGCCAGGCTGGGCTGATTGTTCCTACTGGCGCAAACAAAAATCAGAGTGAGTGAGGGTTGGTTGGGCTTAGTCACAGCACCAGTTGGCAGAAGCTGGCACTGCGGGCTAATTCTGTCAGGTTAAACCACAGAACCACTTGGAGAGTGCATGATTCAGGAGTGGGAGTGACCTAGGAGGGAAATAATGGGCTCCTCCCTCTTGGGTTACTACTCCCACTAGAGGACATGAAAACCAGGACAGGGGCTGAGGTGGCTAAACAGAGAGGCACCCAACAAAATCTGTGTGGGCTGGATAGTGGAGCAGGTTAGATGGACCTAAGCTTCAATACCATTGACATGTTTGAGAGCTGAATGGGATGTGGGACAGACTGGACTAATCTACTGCACATACTGGCAAACCAGGGTAGGGGGCGGGCCTGGTGGGGTTATTGTGGGTCGCTATGACTAGGCTGCAGCTCCCACTGGTTTATGTGAGGGTTGAGTGTGAACTGGGCAGAACCAGGCTGGACCGCAACACCCATTGGTTCCAGTGGAAGATAGTGCTGGAGACAGATTTGACCCAGCAGTTGCAGCCACCAGCTGATCAGGGCGATGGACTGTGCTGAACCCTATACTTGCTAGTAAACACAAGAATCTTGTCTGGGAACAAATCAGACAAAGTTTCTTTTGGGATCTCCCCAATCGAACTGCCAGACTCAGAACCCTAACCGTGAAGAGACAGAGGACAGAGCAAGTCAACCACCTCAGCCATATGTTCGCAGTGCAAAACAGGGCAAACAGAGACTCTAAGATGGACTATGTCAATCAGTGGATTCTTCAACGACTTCATTGTGCTTGGAGTGGCAAGACTGGCAGCAATTCATAGCTGTTGAACTGTCAAAACCACTTGAGCAAGAACCTTGGAGCATACCCTACATCAGGGACCTGGGATGGATGGGAAATTGGGTTGGGCTTCTCCCTTAAAACCCCCTTTTCCTCAGATACATGAAGGAAACAATGTAGAAATAATAGTCTTACTTGTTTTCCTGTAGCCCTTGAACCTTTTTACCCTAATTAACTATGTAAATATTGTCAAAAATATAATTTAAAAAATGGAAAAAGAACTGCTAACTGAATGATGCTGACAAATTTTTTTCACATTTAGGGTTGCCATTTTCTCCGCAAGGAAGATAAGGAAGATGCACCAAAGTTTGTTAATATGTGAATAAAATGAATGCAAGTTATTTGGATAATTAGCAATATGTAAATTAAAACTTATACCATTTGGCAATCTCCAACTATGTTGGTTCATTCCCCTGATGGCTGCAGCTGCTGGAATGAGGCTGAAGTCAGGAGCCAGGGGCTTCTCTTGGGTCTCCCATGTTAGGAATAGCAGGGGAATAAACACTTAGGCCATCTTCTGCTGCTTTCTCATGCCATCAACAGGAAGTTGGATGGGAACTGGAGTAGCTGGGACTCGAACTTATGTCCATCTGGGATTCTGGTGCCGGCAGCTACCTTTTTTTTTTCTTTTAAAGATTTATTTATTTTTACTGGCAATGTGGATTTACAGAGAGGGAGAACAAAGATCTTCTGTCTGCTGGCTTACTCTCCAAGGGACCACAATGGACAGAGCTGAGCTGTTTTGAAGCCAGAAGCCAGGAGCCTCTTCAGGTTCTCCTGCATGGTTGCAAGGTTCCAAGGCTTTGGGCCATCCTTTACCGCATTCCCAGGCCACGGGCAGGTTGCGGATGGGTAGTGGACTAACCGGGACACAAACTGGTGCCCATTACTTGCAAGGAGAGAATTTAGCCACTAGGCTACCATGCCGGGTCCTATGTTACTTTTAAATGAAGCATAATTTACTTTCAGAGTAACTCATGGACCTCACAGATCTAACAGAGCATCTAAGGAGGAGACTGCAGCTTGTATAGTAATGAAGACCTTGGAAGCCAGAATATCAGGTTGCAGTATGTGGTAGAACCACAAATCTTCACTAAAAAGAGAGAAAAAAAAAAAAAGCAAAGAATTGTCTATTGGCATGACGAGGTGCATGGCACCTAAGGTCACTAGATGACTGCGAGACGGCCCTGTGTAAGCAGGCTTCAGCCACGCGCTACTGGCGGGGCGCTTTTCTGTGACAAAACCTCCCCTCCCCGCGGCGTCCGGGGCTCCCAGCAGGCCTCGCGCCGCTTTTGGCGGGAAATGCCGCCTGGACGGCGCGTCAGGCGACGCAGACTCGCCAGGCCCGGCAACCGTTGAGGAGGCGCGCATGCGCACAGCGCCTCACGCCGCCTGGATCCGCCTCGCGCCGCCTCGCGCTGCTGCTCGCTGGCGCTGCTCCCTGAAGCCTTACGTAATATATATTTCTGGGGTTTTACCGCTTCATCTGTCTCGTTGTAGCGCTTTCTGTCTACTTTACAATTTCTTAAGGGCTAAATGATGGCACAGCGGGGCAGGAGAGGGCGGCGGAATATGTAACTGTTTTCCACGAAGGGTTCCTCAGGTTCGCTCTCTCAGCTAGTCCAAGCTTTATGAGGAGAGAGAAGCGAAAATGTTTCTGGTGAATCTCTTTTGTGGATTCTTCTAGTTTAATTTTCTACGTAGAAAAAAAAAATGTAATTAGAATAGAAGAAAAAAAGGCAGGGGGTACCTCTCAAAGTTACATGACTGGATCCCATCCGGCGCCCTGCTTGCGGCCCGGGGAAGCAGTGGCAGTTAGGCCAAGGGCTGCCGGCCCCGCCACTGGAGACCCAGAGGAGGCTCCCGGCTCCCGGCTGCCGGCTCCCGGCTCAGCCCCGGACATTGTGGACATCGTGGAGTGAACCAGCAGATGGAACATTCTCATTCTCTCTCTCTTTCCCTCCCTCCCCTTTTCTCCCTCTCTCTCCCGCTCCCATCCTCCCTCTATTCCTCTTTCGCTCCCTCCCTCCCTCCCTCTCTCAGTCTCTTTTCTGTAACTCTGCGTTTCCAATAAAATTGATTAGTTTATGAGGGATATGCTTGAGAAATAGAATTGGGCATAAAAATAATTTCTGTGGCCTTTTTATGGCCATTTCATGTTGGAGACAATATTTATATCTAGAGCCATGTGTAAAGTTCTGTGTAAGCAAAGCTGCCAGATTCATTTATTTTGAAACTTAAAAGAAAAAAAATCATTCAGGGAGTGGGAATTGGGAGGAAGGGAATCCCAGACTATATCAAACTGTACCATAAAATTCAAAATTTAAAATAAAAATTACCAAAAAAACCAAAAAAAAAAAAAAAACAAAACACCTTTTTTGGAGGGGGGGGAAAACTTTGGGGAGTTTAAAGAGTTGACCATGAACAATTTTCATTACTTTCTACCCAAGATGTTCTCATTCCTTGGATTCTGTGTAACGGAGAAAACTAGGAAGGTGGTGCTTTCTTTACAAGTTCTTTTGAAGCTCCGTTTGTGGGGCTTACAGTGAGGACCTCACTGGAAATAGTTGGACAGCAATATGGATCGCTCAGTCTCTGAAGGTCCCATTTTAAGAAACAAAAACAAAACACTCAAATGTGCTCATAGAACTGTTTTACTTTGCAGGTGCTGCAGTAGACTGTTAGAGATATTTACAAATCAGATTGGAAGGTAAAGCTTTTACTTGCGTCACAGGGGTGAATTGAAGAAAATACCCTATCAGAAGATGGCCACTGCCCAGTTGCGGAGGACTGCTGCCACGACTGCCGCCGCCGCTGCCATGGTACTTTGTGTAGTTGACAGTGGATCTGAGTCTATGCTCTTGATGTCTCAGCTACCTCCTGTTAGGAAGTTGTAGTCAAGTGTTTGAGGCCTGAGTGATAGTCAGCAAACCCCCTTGCACAGGGGCCATGCTAATCTTCACTGTGTCATTCCAATTTTAGTATATGTGCTGCCGAAGCGAGCACAGTCAGGAAACTCCATGTTTTGTGAAATGAAGATATTTGCAGAGCTTTTGAAGTAATGGAGATTTCTACTGGGTATTTAATATATTGTATTAATTTGCTGATTCGAGTTCTGCAATGGGTAATTCATGAATGCTGCTTTGTTATTTTGATAAAGTTGTGTATCAAGTGGACCCACAGGTGGTGAATGTCTGTGATCCTCTAAGGTAAAATTGTTACCTTTGCATAGGATTGTAACTAAGAAGAGATACAACAAATGATGACAATGAACAACAAATCTGCAGGAACATTGTTAAGATTTGTAATGCTTCAGGCATGTTATCTTCAGGCTCTTACCCTAGAAACAACTCACATTTTAGATGTCACCCTGACTTTCTGGGCATTTCTAACCACTTTGAGGCAGGATAGTGCTAAACATATGTAAAATTGGATCTTCTTTCTATCCAAAGGAAATTTATTTTTGATCGGCACAAATAATATGTTTTAATTCTTGATTTTTAGAGTACAGCAATATTTCCTAATAAGATATCAAATGAACAGGAATCTTTGACATTGGTGAAGCGGCTCCTAGCAGTTTCAATATCCTGCATCACCTATTTGAGAGGAATATTTCCAGAATATGCCTATGGAACAAGATATCTAGATGGTAATACACATTTATTTTAAAACCTAAAAAAATCTTAACTTTATTTTGACTTAAAGATTTTGCACTTAAGTAGTAGTTTTTTTCTGAATGTCTTCAATATTTTAATAGGGATTGTGGTGAATCTGTAAATTTTTTGTTGTTGTTGTTGTTGTTGCAAAGTCAGATATACAGAGAGGAGAGACAGGGAGAAAGATATTCTGCCTAATTCTTCGCTCCCCAAGTGGCCGCAATGGCCAGAGCTGTGCCAGTCCGAAGCAAGGAGCTTGGAGCCTCCTCCAGGTCTCCCACTTGGGTACAGGATCCCAAAGCTTCGGGAAGTCCTTGACAGCTTTCCCAGGCCACAAACAGGGAGCTGGATGGGAAGCGGGACCACCGAGATTAAATCAGTGACTATATGGGATCCTGGCGCATTCAAGGCAAGGACTTTAGCCTCTAGGCTACTGTGCTGTACCCCTTTAGTAGCAGTTTATGTATAATTCATGTATCTGATAATCCACTTCCTTATAGTGTACAATGTTTCAAATTTATTCACAGAATTGTGCCACTGTTATCACACTTTTAGAATACAGTGTCACTTTGCAGTGAAATCCCATATCCTTTACTATCCATTCTCCATCCCAATCTTACTAGGCAACTATTAATATTTTTCTCTCTGGCTGTTTTACATACAAGAGTCATAAAATATGTGATCCTTTGTGACTGGCCTCTAATTATCATAGCATTTTCAAGGTTTCTCCAAGTTATACTACAGATTAATATTTTCCTTTTGTTGCCACATAAAGTCCATTCAATGGCTGCACCACATTTTATGTATTTATTTATCAGCTGATGAACATTTAGGTTATTTCCTCTCCTTGGCTATTATGTAGAATGCCACATTTAATGTACTCATTTTTGTTTGTACATACAATCTTTTCCTGAGAAGATTAAAGGGAGAGACTTAGCCAGCCAGCCAGAGAGCTCTTACCTGCAGGCCCAATCCCCAGATGCCCACCAGAGGTGGGGTTAAGCCAGGCAAGGTGGAGAGCCAAGAGCTTGGTCTGGTTTACCCAAGCAGGTTGCTTGGTAGCTTAGCCACGCCCTCCTGCCTCCCAGAGTGTAGAGTGCATGTCATCGGGCTGTGATCAGGAATAGAGCTGTTATTCCCATCCAGACATCCCAAGTGGCACCTTAACTGCTAAGCCAAACATTTGCCTTGAGATTTTTTTGTTTTGTTTTGTTTTGGGTTTTTTTTTTTTTTTTGCCTATAAGTCTGTTCAGTACTTTTGAAAGTACTTAGAAGACTGTCGCTCAGTTTCTTAAGTAAATTTTACCTTATATTACACGATGAAGAAAATATGTAAAAATAATCTGTTCTTTATAACTGGACTGTGCTTGTGTATGCTTTTGTGCTACTTAAGGAAATGCAAAAATAATACAGTTTATATTATATTTCCAGAAATATAATCTGCACAACAGTATGTGCCAACTATATGCTGGGAGAAATGTTATACATTATGTTATGTAGAGTGCCTTGTTAATTTCATGTTGCAGTTATGTAAAGCAGGTGTTAGCCCTGTTTTTCAAATAATGACTCTAAAAAAAACAACTACAACAAAAAAAATAATAGTGATTCTGAGGCAGAGATGCTCTTGTCCTTCTCATTATTTTACATTTTGCTTCTTTGAAAAGATTTTGTCTATGATAGCCACATCTAACTTCTTGTCCTTTTATATTTATTTTATATGTATATTTTGTATTTTGAATATTTTGAATATTTTATTAAAATTTTTATTTAAAAATATTTAATATTATACACATTTTACATAAATATTATGCATATTCTAATACTTATTTCCTCTTAACACTTTTGGGTAGTCAGCAGGAAGCTGGAATTGGAAACAGAGCAGATGCTTGAACCAAGGCACTGTGACAGTGGGGTTCAGGTGTTCCGAGCAGTAGTTTCACACTGGACCCAATTTTATATGCCATAAATTTTTTTAAAAAGATTTATTTTTATTATGTTCTTATTGGAAAGGCAGATATACAGAGAGGAGAGACAGAGAGGAAGATCTTCCGTCCGATGATTCACTCCCCAAGTGAGCGCAACGGCCAATGCTATGCCGATCCGAAGCCAGGAGCCTCTTCTAGGTCTCCCACGCGGGTGCAGGGTCCCAAAGCTTTGGGCTGTCCTCTGCTGCTTTCCCAGGCCACAGGCAGGGAGCTGGATGGGAAGCGGGGCTGCCGGGATTAGAACCGGCACCCATATGGAATCCTGGGCGTGCAAGGCGAGGATTTAATCACTTGTGCCACTGTGCTGGGCCCTATGCCATAAATTTTTTTAAATAAATGTTTTCTTACTCACTAACTTGCATCTTAATCATTATGATGGCATTTTATAATAAAAAAGACTATTTCCAAATAGCTTTTTCTCTTTAATTAAGAATACCTATAATCTATAGCTTCATTGCCATAAAAAATTAGAAGAGGAAAATAATCTTGTAAACTTTCTAGTTTCTGTTTTTGAGTATGGTTATGTTAATCTTTTTGTATTTAGATCTTTGTGTCAAAATTCTGAGAGATGACAAACATTGCCCAGGAGCTTCACAACTAGTGAAGTGGTAAGTTAAAGAACACCTAAAGATAGAAATATTTAATCACATTTGTAGTATATTATATACTTTTCAATGTATAATCAACTTTTAAGGATTCATCCTTGAATACTGAATATCATTTTTCATAGGTTATGAGTTTTTACATTAAAATTTTTCTTTTTTCTGTGCGGTATGTGAGCACATTTCATTGATCTATTATTACTTACCATTAGTAAGCCTCCATATTTTTTCTTTCACCTCCTATCACTAGTTTATATTTTTAAAATATTTATTTTACTTATTTGAAAGTAGAGTAATAGAGAAAAATCTTCTATTTGCTGTTCATATCTACAGGACCAGTGCTGGGCCACGCCAAAGCCAGGAGCTAAGAGTTTAATCAAGGCACCCAAATATGAGGCAGGTTCCAAGTATTTGGGCTGTCTTCCACTGCCTTCCCAGGCACATTAGCAGGGAGCTAGATTGGAAGTGAAGAAGCTAGGACTCAAATTAATGCTCTGATAAGACTTATCAGCATTGCAGACTGCAAATTAAGTCTCTGTACCACAGTTCTGACCTCATCATTTTCTATTTCTTTCATATCCTTTTTATTTTGATGTAGTTAGTGATAAGGGAAATCTAATAAAAAATCTCATAGGAAAATCTAATAATAAGCAATGTGAAATGTGTAGATTTAGGAAATGATTTATTTTCTGAGCATTCTTTCAGTCTAAAAATATGTTCTATTTTTTTTAGGATGTTAGGGTGCTATGATGCTTTAAAGAAGAAATATGTAAGTTTTTGAAATATCACTTTGTTCTTTTTTTCCATTGTTTCTGTTGTTCAAACCTAAAAATAGTTACCATGTAATAAAACATGAACTTAGTAAACTAACTTGAGCATAAAGTTAGTCTTAGTTACTAAAACATACTAATATGAGAATATATTTTAAACCCTAATCTTCATTTAAAATTAAAACAATTAAGACTAAGCAGATTTTTTTCAAGTCATTGTTGGTTATTTAGCATTCATTTGTATTAATAGTATGTGTTGGGGCCAGTGTGATGGCTCAGTGGCTAAATCCTTACCTTTCGAACACTGGGATTCCAAAGGGTGCCAGTTTGTATCCTGGCTGCTCCATTTCTCATCCAGCTCCTTGCTTGTGGCCTGGAAACAAAGTAGAGAACAGCTCAAAGCCTGGGGACCCTGCACCCTCATAGGAGACACAGAAGAAAAGTCCTGGCTATGAGTCAACTCAGCAACAGCCACTGCAGCCACTTGGGGAGGAAACTAGCAATGGAAGATCTTTCCGTAAAATTTGCGTTTGCAATAAAAATACATCTTTAAAAAAAAGAAACAAATACATCTTTAAAAATACATACTAACATGAAAATTAAAATTGTTTTTTAAAGATATATTTATTTTTATTGGAAAGGCAGATTTACAGATAGGAGAGAGAGACAGAAAGATCTGTCTACTACTGGTTCACTCCCTGGAGTTGAGTCAATCCAAAGCCAGGAGCCAGGAGCTTCTTCCAGGTCTCCCATGTGGGTGCGGGTCTCAAGGCTTTAAGCCATCCTTGATTGCCTTCCCAGGCCACAAGCAGGAAGCTAGATGGGAAGTAGAGCAGCCAGGACATGAACTTGCACCCGTATGGGATCCCAGCATGTGAAAGACAAGGATTTAGTCACTGATCCATCACACCAGTCCCTAAATTTTAAAAACATTTTCAAAAATTAATGAGTTGAAAAGTTTTATAAAATAGCATTTTTAGTTTCACGTGCCTTTTATAATTTTAGGGTATAGTGTTAATGCTGATAATTAGTTTTTATTTGAGAGGCATAGCTCCCACTGACTGTTTCACTCCCCAAATACCTGCGCTGGCTGGAGCTCGGCTAGGGCTGGAGATCATAGATGGGAACATAATCCAGGTCTCCCTAATGGCTGGCCAGGGCCGTTACCTGAGCTCTTACTGCTGCTTCCCAGGATTGAAAGGTGGAGTCTGGAGCCACAGCGAAGAACCACTAGGCACTCTAATACAGGATGGAGGAGGCTAGAAAAATAGCTCTTAGGCCACTATTGTGATTCTGTTGGGAAATAACTGTGGCTCAGATCAGGATAGCAGAGGAGTTTCAGGCTAGATTTGGCAATAGAACAGTTTGTGTTTGTTCATGGATTGGTTATGCAGAATGAGGAAGAGATCACAATCCAGGGTAACTCCTGTTTTTCGTGTATCACTTAAGTCAAAGGCTTTGTTTCGTTTTGTTTCGTTTCTGGTTTCTGTAGTCTCCAAAGCCTCTTGCCTTTGTTAAACACATAGCCTCAAACACTATACTTTTTCTCTTTGCATATTGGCAAATTTTAGTGTGTTATTTAACAATATGTATTTACCTTGCAACTGGCAGTAATGTCCTGTTTGACCAAGTCAGGTAAGTAAAATTCTGGCATAAGTTTCAGCCATCAGTAAGTCCAGTGCAAATAGTTGTTTGGGAGAATATGTAGGCATAGTTAAGCTTTTGCCTTAAAGGCATGATTGCATTCTACAATGATTATTTGTTATTAGACATAGATGTTGAAATAGGACAAGAAATTCTTATGATCCATCATAAAAACCCATTTTATAGCATACAACTAAGTAAGATTTTTGCTCTTTGTTGTATTTCAGCTAAGGATGATTATTCTAGCGGTAAGTAACTCACTTGGCATTTCTTGCTTAAATAAAATGACACCATCCATTGTCACTGTATTCAAACAACTGACAACTGCTGGGGGAGAGGGGAGAAATAATAAGCTAACATTTCAGGGGTAGTTTTATTCTTTGTTATGTTTTACTGAGTTGTTTAAGCTTGAATGTAAACACCTAATTTAGTTTTTCTTGAGCACTTAGATAATTCAATTCTAAATTACTTTAAAATAGGTATACAGCAATCCAGAAGACCCACAGGTGAGTGTACTTTGGTTAATAGAGAAACATAAAACTTCTAATGTCAAAAATAACATAGAGGCATACTAATATTTGATCAGTGAATGGCATATATTTTCATGTCTGAATCTCCAGAAAAGGCTTCTGAGGTAAAGCAAATTTTATGTCTTGGAACAGATTAATACAATCACAATGAGAGATTTTGGGACTGATACTAGGCAGAAAAACTTACAAACTATTAGAAATAACCTGAATCACTTCACTGCTGGCTTTTACAATATTCTTTATCCAGAATTATGAAAGAGGGGGAGTTTAGGGAAAATGACAACCTCATCCTTGGTCTTTGAATATTCCTCCCAATGCAGTCACATCCACCTTGTTTACTGGCAATTATAGCAGGTAGAGAGGACCAGAAAAGAAAGAGAAACTCAGACAGTGTTCTATGTCAGGGTTCACTGTTTGGTACTTTTTTAATATTTTTATTACTATATATTCATCAGAACCATTCTAAAGTAAATAGCATTATCACTGCTATTGCACAGGTTAGAATATCTAGATACAGGATTTTTTGATCAAAGTCCAGAGGTGCAAATGTGGTAGAACTAGCATTTGAAATTAGGAGACATCACATTACAGTTATGGAGATGCAGAAGGAGAGGGGGAGTGCTGCTAAGGGCCATCTCCATGTAAGCACTGAAATGTAAAGGAAGCAATTCCCGAGGGTGGCAGTGTGGCTTTCCTGAGGTCCTCAACACCTGTGCTAATGCTTAATACACACGCACGGTCACAGAGATCGTTTGGGCAAAGGCTTTGAAGTCATTTATTGTTCTTAAAACTGATTATTTAGAAAAATGTTCATTTATTCAGAAATTTTTTCATTTTTAAATACATTTTATAGTTATTCATTTTGTCCTAACAGTAAATGAACAACCTTAATGATACACTGATAGTACTTATTGAATGTTTGCTGTGTGTCAGGCACTTTCAGTACTCTGTGTAAATTACCCTATCTGATAAATATTTATTTCTACTAATGAAATAGATACTGCTTTCAACTTTTTTAAACTGGGGAAATAGAAGACTTACAAGGCTTATGTGTGGTTGCAATGTAGCAAAAATTTAAGCCTTTATGCTTATATTTTCTGTTGGCTACAATTAAATACCAGGGACTGGCTATTTATACATAAAGGTCTATTCATCTCATGGTTCTAAGACTGGGAGGTTCAAGGTTGGAGACTGCATCTGGTGAGGGACCTCTGGCTGATGGCAGCTGCTAGTCTTGAGGCAACGCAGGGCATGACATAGTGAGAGGGGATGCGCACAAGAGGAGAGCCAAACTGACTTGTGAAAGACTCACTCTTGAGATAACCTGTTAATTCTATAATCCATGAGAGAAAGTAGAGAAATGATCAATTCTTAAAGGGATAAATTTATCCCACTTCTAGTCTCTCGCAATCATGATGCAAGAAATATCTTTTTAAAAGATTTATTTATTTATTTGAAAGATTTATGGCTTGGCACAATGGCTTGATTGGCTAATCCTCTGCTTTTCAATGCCAGGATCTTTCTGTTTCTCCTTCTCACTATAAATCTGCCTTTCAAATAAAAATAAATATTTTTAAATATGTATTTGCAGAGAAAGGGAGAAACAGAGAGATTTCCATCTGCTGCTTCACTCCCCACTTGGCTACAATGACGAGACCAAAGCCAGCGGCCAGGAACTTCTTCCTTGTGTCCCACATGGACACAGGGGCCCAAATTGTTGGGCCATCTGCCATTATTTTCTAAGGCACATTAACAGCTTGATCAGAAGAGGAGCAGCTGGAAATCAAACTGGAATCTGTATTCCAGGTGGTAAACTGGAATAGCTGTGCCACAATGCCCTGAAACTGTAACAGTATCTTTTTCAAAAGGGGGGTGGGGGTGGCAACATTGTGGTTCAGTAGATTAAGTTTCTGCCTGCAACAGTGGCATCCCATGTAAGCTCTGGTTCCAATTCCAGCTTTTCCACTAGCAATCCAGCTTCCTACTAACATACCTGGCAAAGCCCCTGCTACCCATGTGGGAAATTCACATGGAGTTCCAGGCTTTGGCCTGGCCCATTGTGGCCATTTGGACAGTGAACAAGTGAATGGAAAATCCCTTCGTATACTTCTCCTCTCCATAACTATACCTTTCAAATAAATCTTTTTTAATGTATTGATTCTTTAAATACTTATTTTGTATATTTGGAAGGCAAGTTTAGAGAGGGAGGTATAGAGAGATCTTCCATCTGCTGTGTCACTCCCCACATGGCTGCAATGGCTGGGACTGGGATGTCCAGGACAAAGTCAGGAGCCATGAGCTTCTTCCAGGTCTTCCATGTGGCTGGCAGGATCCATCCTCCTGCTTTACCAGGCATATTATCATAGAGTTCAACTTATTATTTTGATAAAAATGTTATCAAAAGTGGTCATCTACTGGCTCACACCCAGATGCCAGCCTCAGCTGGGGTTGGACACTGAGGCCAAATTGGGAGTTAGAAAAAGAAAATCAATCCACGTCACCCCATGGGTGGCATGAACTGAATTGCTTCAGTTCCCTCCACAGCCCCCCAGGGTCTGCAGGAAGCTGGAGGCAGGAGGTAGATCTGGTACTTAGATGCAGGAGAGGGCGTTTTATTCAATGCCTTAAGCACCAGTCTAAATGTCACTAGCCATAGTAATGTCTTTAATTTGTCTTGTGCTCCTTTAACAACCAAGTACTGAATGAAAGACAAAAATGTATTTATTACAATTCTAGAGGCTACACATTCAACACCACAAGGCTGCCAGTAACTGGTGAGAGCCTTCTGGTGTCATAGGGTAGAAACCAGAAGGGTGTATGCTCTGGTCTGTGAACTGAGGGAGGGGCAGCCTCTGAACTAGCTTTGGGATCTTCATACCTTGCCTTGTTAGCACATTTCTGTCTTACTTGATCTTATAATTCTCTAATAATAGCTAATGGGGCCCAGCATGGTAGCCTAACGGCTAAAGTCCTCACCTTGAATGTGCCGGGATCCCATATGGGTGCCATTTCTTATCCCAGCAGCCCAGCTTCCCATCCAGCTTCCTGCCTGTGGCCTGGGAAGGCAGTCGAGGACGGCCCAAAGCCTTGGGACCCTGCACCCACATGGGAGACCTGGAGGAAGTTCCTGGCTCCTGGCTTCAGATCATCTCTGCTCTAGCCGTTGTGGCTGCTTGGGGAGTGAATTAGCAGATGGAAGATCTTCCTCTCTGTCTCTCCTCCTCTCTGTATATCTGACTTTGCAATAAAAAGTAAATAAATCTTTAAATATACATATAATAATAGCCATGTATAATAGCTGGGTAATTTTTAAAGGAGACACATTTGTTTGTTAGAATCACAAAGACTGCAAAGTCCAAGATCGCATCTGTAACATCTGGTAGTTATTGTGTTCATTCGATGGGGAAAGGGGGAAGGCAGGAGAGCACCAGAGGTGGGAAGAAAAGAAGGGAAAAGTCCTGAACTCAACCTTTTCTCAGGTTCCCACTCCTACAGTAATTACACTATCCTGTGGTAATAACCAGCTCCCATAACAGCAGGATCAATTCAGTCATGACCACAATGCCCTCATGGTCAGGTCCCTTCCTAAAGGTCCTGCCTCACTTCTTGCACTGGGAATTAACTTTGTAGGACATGTTCAAACCGCAGCACTGCGGCACTCAGGGAAGTGTGCTGCACCTTTTACCTGCTTACTAAGGAGTTCTGTATCTGGTGTACAGAACATATATTGCCATGAGTCGGGGAATGCATTTCTGTCCATGGCTGAAGTCCCAAATTCCAGACCGTGGGAACTAACTATAAGGATTTGAAAGTGTCTATGGGGAAAAAAAACTATTGACACATATTAAGAATTACACAAAACCAGCATATAATTATTTGATAACCAGTACTATATAATCAGGTTTATAACTGCATTGTTTTTTTTATTAAAAGACAGTTTCAGAATGTTACCAATTTAAATTCAAGTATACTGGTGATGGACCCATTATGGATTTTGTAAGGTATTGTTCTCTTTGTGTTGCAGATAAATGGTTATATAGCAAAAATTTGGGATAAATTCTGAAAATTCTCAAATATCCCTAAATAGCCACAGAAACGTATCTGTCCAAAATATAGAGTGGTGGCTTGCAGAAGCTGCAAGATGGAATTCTGCGGCTAATTACATACTGTTTTACTGTAGAAACAAAGTTTTGATGACTAGAAACATAAGTTAAATCCATTTGATTCCTTTAAAATATTGCATAAAATTCATATTTTATTTATGTAAAGTATGTTTTGGTTTATAATGCTAATATTAATCATCCAAATTTTTATAATAATGATGTAAAAACACAAGTTAATGTTATAAAAAGAATAATACAAATACTTGAAACATGAAGTTATAATATTAAAATCAAAAGGTTTTAGGAAAGACATAAATGTTTATTCTTTTCTAGTAAAAATCAAAGCAATAGATCTAGCATGTCGTCTGCTGACACCAAGAAAGCAAGTATTCTTCTCATTCGGAAGATTTATGTTCTAATGCAAAATCTTGGACCATTACCTAATGACGTTTGTTTGACCATGAAACTATTTTACTATGATGAAGGTATGTCTTGTTTCAGTTGGTATCATTATGCTTTATTATTATTGAAATAATTTGTTTCCATTCCAAATGTTTCCAGCACCAAAACTTGTATACTTTTTTTGGGGAAAAATTACATTTAATACAATATTTGAAAAAAATTACAAAAATAGACTTAAAAAAAACAGCTATTTTATTTTTATTGGAAAGTCAGATATATAGAGAGGAGGAGAAACAGAGGAATATGTTCCATCCATTGATTTACTCCCCAAGTGGCTACAACAGCCAGAGCTGAGCCAATCTGAAGCCAGGAGCCAGGAGCCTCTTCCATGTCTCCCATGCAGTTACAGGTGCTAAGGCTTTGGGGTGTCCTCAATTGCTTTCCAAGGCCACAAGCATGGAGCTGGATGGGAAGTAGAGCTGCTGGGATCAGAACTGGAGCCAATACAGGATCCTGGCACATCAAGGCGAGGAGCTTAGTCATTAGGCTACTGCTCTGGGCCCAAAAATAGACTTTAAAATATACACTTGTCTGATTGAAGTGGAGTTGTCTTCTTGGAACATGTGTCTTTGGAATGCATGAAATATATTTTCTTTAAATTAATTTAAAAATATTAAAAGAATACCCTCTGTGGGCCCCGCACAGTAGCCTAACGGCTAAAGACCTCACCTTGCACGTTCCTAGATCCCTTATGGGTGTCAGTTCTAATCTGGGTGGTCCTACTTCCAATCCACTTCCCTGCTTGTGTCCTAAGAAAGCAGTCCAGAATGGCCCAAAATCTTGGGACCCTGCACCCGTGTGGAAGACCCAGAGGAGGCTCCTGGCTCCTGATCAGTGTGACTCCAGCCATCGTAGCTACTTAGGGAGTGAGTCAACAGATGGAAGATCTTCCTCTGTGTTTCTCCTCCTCTCTGTATATCTGACTGTCCAATAAAAAATTAAAAATAAATCTTTAAGGAAAAAAAGAATACACTTTGCACTCCACATAACAGAAATGTAAAAAGTGAACAATGTGGATATTCATATATAATCATAATCTAGTAAAAAGTAGTTAGGATTACTAAACTCCCCCATCATAAATGTTCTGGAATATTATCCTTCGTTTGTAATAGCAGATACAGTGAAATACTTTATAAGGCAAAGCACTTGTGGTTAGATGATGTGGTTTTATTTTACGCAAATCTTTGTAATTTGGTAATTTGTATATAATCTCCATGATAAGAGAATAGAACACTGGATTAACCTGAACACTGCATTTACTGACTATACCACATAACAGTTTACCAGACGTATGGCACCCAGTAGTATAAATGTACAAGAGGAGCATGGCTTTTCTGCAAAACATTGATTGTATTCTCGTTCTATTTCATGAACCTTCATGAACTGTTGAGGCTCTTTGTTCATGTTTTAGTTCCCTGTCCACCAGATTAGTCTGAATGGAACCTATTCAAATATAAATGTATGTTGAATTAAAATTTTTACACTAGGGCCTAATGCAATGGCCTTGTGGCTAAATCTTCACCTTGCAAGTGCCAGGATCCTGTATGGGCACCAGTTCATATCCCGGCTGCTCCACTTCCATCCAGCTCCCTGATTGTGACCTGGGAAGCAATAGAAGATGGCCTAGAGTCTTAGGATCCTGCACCTGCGTGGAGACCTGGAGGAAGCTCCTGGATCCTGGTTTGGATCTGCTAAACTCCAGCTGTTGTGGCCACTTTGGAAGTGAACCAGCAGATGGAGGGTTTTACTCTCTGAATCTCCTTCTCTCTGTAAATCTGCCTTTCTAATAAAAATAAGATACCTATAAAAATAATTTACACTAACAAAATATATACACTTGTCATTGATATGAACATATCCATGTGAAATATAACTTCTCTCATAATTAAAGAAATAAAGCAGTGAGATAAAAGTTTTCACCACCCGAATGGTAAAACTTGTAACTTGCACATTATTCACAAGGATGTAGGGATATGGGGAAGTATAAGTATATGTTGCTTATTTATTTGAATGGCAGAGTTAGAGAGAGATCTTCCATTCACGGTTCACTCCCCAAATGGCTGTGAATAGTAAGGACTGAGACAGGCCAAAACCCAGAGCCTGGACCTCCACTTGACTCTCCCAAATGGGTGGTAAGGGCCCAAACCAAGCACTTGAGCTGTTTTCAATGCTTTCATTAACAGGGAGCTGGATTGGAAGTAGAGTACTTGAAAAGATGTATTTGTTTTTATTGGAAAGGCAGATTTACAGAAAAGGAGATATAGAGAGAAAGATCTGATTCACTCCCCAAGTGGCCACAGCACCCAGAGCTGAGCTGATCAGAGTCTAGGAACCAAGAGCTTCTTCTGGTCTCCCATGTGGGTGCAGGGTCCCAAGGCTTTGGGCCATCCCTTATTGTTTTCCCAGGCCACAGGCAAGGAGCTGGATAAGAAGCAGAGCAGTTGGAACAAAAACCGGTGCCCATATGGGATCCTAGCACATACAAGGTGAGGATTTAGCCATTGGGTCAAGTTGCTAGATCCTATAAATTCATTTTTAAGGGATTTATTTCTTTCTTTCATAAGCAGAGAGAAAGAAAGATTGATCTTTCATTTACCAGTTCACTCCCCAAATGGTCACAGTGGCTGGGGCTGTGCCAAGCCAAAGCCAGAAGTCAGGAGCTTCTTTTGGATCTTGCATATGGTTTAGAGTCCCAAGTACTTGAGCCATCTTCTGCTGCATTCCCAGGTGTATTGGCAGGGAACTGAATTGGAAGTGGAGCAGCTGGGATTCAAATAGGTGCCTGTATAGGATATCAACGTTAGAGGTGGTGACAACCAGCTATGCCACAATACTAGCTGCAAATTTAGATATTCCGTTGCTAGAAAAATAAAATATACTTGCACAAATATATAAGGTTAAATATAACAGTTTTCATTATAGCATTTGCTAAAATGGGAATGAACAGAAAATGTGAGTGGCATGCACTGAGGATTGAGTAAATAAGTTATGGAGCATCTTGTATAACAATACTGTGCAAGCTCTTCGGAAGAATGGACTGATAAATATTCTAAGAGGTAGAAAAAGTAGCTAGGTACAAAGCAGTTTGATCTCATTTATGTTATAAAGGCTATGCAGAGGAAGGTAGGAGATTTCCTAAAATCCTTTTATTATATAAGTAATGTCTCCTGGAGATCCTAAAACAGTGAAAATAACAACATTTCTCAAATGCTCAGTGCTCTATTGTGAATATTTTACAATGCTTTAAGTCATTTAATACCCAACGTGATCTTATGAGGGAGAATACAATTATTTTCTTTGTTTAATGAATGATGAAACCAAATCAGGGCTCCCGGCTTCTGGTGGGTCTCAGGACGGGGCGTCTCATGCCTGGCTCCCAGACGACAGCCACCATGTGCACGTGGTGAGCTGTCCCCGGGCGGCCAATGTGCCATTTGATGCCAGGCTTCACTTGCTGGCCGCCCGGCCAGGGAGCTCTAGGATTTTGGTTCTTTGAGTCGCTGCTTAGGTAGCTCCAAGTTGAACCTACTGTGCTTCTAGGAAGTGAAGCATTTGTAAAGATTCCCAATGACAGTAACTCTTCCTTTGAAAAACTTGTAATCACTGAACAATGCTGACCACCAAATACCAGTCCATGCAGAAGCTATGGCTTGGGGCTTGTCCAGCAAATTATATCCTGTTACCTGACATGATGATGGATCAGGAGAAGGGTCACATTAAGCAGGCCATTACATTAACTAGCACTCGAGAACCATAACCGGGGTAAATTCTGTGAGGGAAGTGTGGGCCACACCTGGTGGAAATTCTAGCCCCGCTGGTTATCTCAAGAGTTGGGGTGGTGATGGACTAAGCTAGATGTGACCAAGGAGCCTGCCATCAATCACAGGTAAAGGAACCCCAATAGTCTGGACTGGTCAGGGCAGCAGCACCCAAATGTGCATCCTGATTAGGGTGTGGGGTGGGCCGGGCTGCAACATTCACCAGCTCATACAAGACTAAATGGAAAGCCAGACTTTGGCAGAACCTGGCCTAAACCCAATGGCATGTATGAGAACTGGGTCTGGGAATGGATTAAGTGGAAGAACTTGGGAAAATCCCTTGGCGAGTCATAGCTCCCGCTGGTGAACATGTGGTCCAGACCTGGGGGTCGAACAAGCTGGGCAAAGTAGCTCCAACAGCTGGCAAATGTGTCAATGGTAATGGAACAGGGTGGGCCGGGCAGGACTGAGCAAACCTTAGCCCACAAGCAAAACTAGAGACCAGGAGGGAGCACAGGTCATGCCAAGCTAGGCTCTTGCACCTACTGGTCTGCATGAGCCAGGAATGCTAAGCCACAATGTCTAAGGCAGAGGTCAGGACAGGAGAGGGACTGAGCCAAGCTGAGTCAGAGCAACCACTGGCATGCACATGATCAATGGCTGGGAATAGGTCCGGTTGGGGAGCTAAGGGGACACCCTAACTGGATTAAGGCTACCACCAAGGAGCGCATGTGGCCTGGAATGGGGGCTGCGTTCTGATCAGGAAACAGTCGAGATCTCCCTTGGCACAAGTGTGGACTGGGATTGGATGCACCGAGCCGGGCCAGACTCCAACACCGTCTGTTGTCCTGGAGGCCCAGGACAGATGTGCGATGGACTAGGCAAGGTCTCAAACCCCTACTGAGCCATGTGTGAGCCATATGTGGGTATGAACAAGCTATGGCTGGGCTGAAATATCCAACAGCAAGAACCAGATTGGGTTGAAGGCCAGTCAGGAAAAGCCACTGTTCCTGCTAGACAGGAGGTGAACTGAGTAGGGCTGGCTCATGGACCCAGTGGTATGCGTGAAGCCTGGCATTGGGAGAGGTTCTGATGGAGGAGCCTGGGCAACTCCTCTAGCAGGACACAGACCCGGCAGGTAAGAGCAAGAAACGTGATAGGAAACAGCCCAGAACAGGCCATGGAAAGTTACCCACTGGCATACATTTGTCAGGGGTTGGGGGAAGACCAGGCTGAATCTGTCCACGTCATCCACTGGCAAATCCAAGCGCCAGAACAGTGTGGGTCGAGTCAGGTTCGGGCGCAACAAAGATTAGTGCACAAAACGAAATGCCAAGGTGAGGTTGCCTGTACCGGAAAGGACCGTAGTGCCCAACCAGCATGCGTGAGAACAAGGAAGGGAAGGGGCAGAGCTGGCAGGGGAATAAGGGGTGGTTCCTTTGCTGGACAGCTCCTCCCACTGGAGAGCATCAGCTGGGATGGGGGCAGAACAGACTAAGCACAGCTACAATACCTATACGCCTCATGTGGACTAGATCAGGGAAAAGCCAGGCTGAGCTGATTACTCCTACTGGTGCAACAAAATTAGAGTGGGTGAGGGTTGTTTGGGCTTAGCCACAGCATCAGCTGGCAGAAGCTGGCACTGGGGGCTAGTTCTGTCAAGTCAAACCACAGAACTACCTTTAGAGTGCATAATCTGGGAGTGGGAGAGGCCTGGGAGGGAAATAGTGGGCTCATCCCTCTTGGGTTACCACTTCCACGGGATGGCATAAAACTAGGACAGCAGCTGGGGTGGAAAGGGGTGTGGGACAGACTGGACTACTGCTACACATACTGGCAAACCAGGGTAGGGGGTGGGCCTGGTGGGGGTTATTGTGGGTCGCTCCAACTAGGCTGCAGCTCCCACTTGATTATGCGAGAGCCAAGTATGTGCTGGGCAGAACCAGGCTGGACTGCAACACCCATTGGTTCCAGTGGAAGTCAGGACTGAAAACAGAACCAACCCAGCAATTGCAACCACCAGCTGATGGGGTGATGAACTGTGCCAGGCCCTGTACTTGCTAGCACATACAAGAATCTGGTTTGAGAACACCTCAGACAAAGTTTCTTTGGAGATCTCCCCATCAAAATGCTGGACTCAGAACCCTAACCAAGAAAAGAGAAGACAGAACAGGTCAACCAACCAACTCAGCTATGTGTTAGCAGTGAAATACGGGTTAAACGGAGACTCTATGATGGACTAAGTCAATCAGTGGATTCTTCAAAGACTTCACAGTGCTTGGAGTGGCAAGATTGGCAGCGATTCATAACTGTTGAAATATGAAAACCACTTGAGCAAGAACCTCAGAGCATATCCTACATGTGGGACCTGGGGAGGGTGGGAAATTGGGTGGGCCTTTTCCCTTAATACCCACCTTTAAACATGAAGGAAACTATATGGAAATAAAAATAAATTTAAAAAAATAACAAACAAAAAAGAAAATACACAGATAGAAAAGCACTTGATAAATATCTGAAATTAGTGTCATCAAATTCAGTGCATTTAAAATAAAGTTCATTACCTTTCAAAAATTAAATAAATAAATAAACCAAATCAGGGCTGAAAACAATTTTGCCTAAGTTCACACAGCCGGTCAAATAAAGAAAGCAAAGGTTACCTACAAGAATAAATTGGGGAGTTGGAAATAATAGGAGGGTGATCTTAACTTTGCAGTTTATATTTCTCTATACTATATTTGAAGCTTCTTTGATCTACATGTACTTTTATGATATTACATTTTCTTCAATTTATTAGCATCACAGTTTACACTTTTTTGTAGTTACACCCACAGATTATCAGCCTCCTGGTTTTAAGGATGGTGACTGTGAAGAAATGACATTTGAAGGGGAGCCTACATACTTAAACGTGGGAGATGTTCCAACACCTTTTCATGGCTTCAGAGTAAAAGTCACCACTGAGAAAGAACGAATGGAAAATATTAGTGCAATTCTGCTATCACCAAAACAAGTAAAAATACCATTTCACAAAATCCTGATGGACATAGATGACCTAGAAGATGAACGAGAACAGTCTATGAGTGTGAGTATACTTGAACAGCTAGAAGCTATAATAGTAACATGTTTGATTCCATTCTGAGAACGTTAGAGCTCTCACTGATATGGGAAAGGATTTTAATAGTAAAGTCTGATACTGTGGTTTTAAAACTTTTTACCTTCTTCTAAGTGATATACTTGGAAATTAAAAGTATAACTATTACTTTTTTCTAATTTTAATTTTAGGTTTTTTAAAAGATGTATTTTTTTAAGATTTATTTATTTATTGGAAAGTCAGATATACAGAGAGGAGGACAGACAGAGAGGAAGATCGTCCCTCTGTCGATTCACTCCCCAAACAGCCACAGTGGCCAGAGCTGAGTTGATCCAAAGCCAGGAGCCAGGAGTTTCTTCTGGGTCTATCTCGTGGGTGCAGGGTCCCAAGGCTTTGGGCCATCCTAGGCTGATTTCCCAGGCCACAAGCAGGGAGCTGGATGGGAAGTGGAGCTGCCGGGATTAGAACCAGTGCCCATATGGGATCCCGGTGCGTTCAAAGCAAGGACTTTAGCCGCTAGGCCATGCAGCCGGGCCCAATTTTAGTTTTTTAACATTTATTTTGCTTGAAAGAGTCAGAGAGAGAGAAGGAGAGAAAGAGATTCCATCTGTTCATTCACTCCTCATATGGTTGCAATGACTGGAGCTGAGCCGATCTGAAGTCAGGAGCCATGGGCTTCTTCCGGATCTCCCATATGGGTTCAGGTCCCAGTGTCTTGGCCCATCCTCTGCTGTTTTCCCAGGACATAGGCAGGGAACTGGATTGGAAGAGGAGTGGCTTTCTGTCAATATCTTCATCAGTAGAAAACGTAATCAATGTTTAGTGAGTTCCATCAGAAAATCTTTTCCTGACATCTAAATCACACTGATATTTTTGTAGCATTTTAAGGAATATTTAAGTTTCACCCCAATTGTAGATAAATGCCTAGGCTGCCTTGTTTGTACCTAGGCAAGTGTTACACTGCTGGGAGAAAAGCAGCTAATAAATAAATAAAAGCAGCAGGCATTCAGGGCCTGGTTAATGCCAAATTTGTGTTAACTCTAACAGTGTACCAGCACAGTTACCTATTCTTTCTCTTTCTCTCCCTCTCTCTTTTTTTTTTTTTTTTAAGATTGATGGAGAGCAAATGCCTGCATGCTAGCAGACAGGGTCTGGGAATTCACATGCAAGTACACATAGGCCCTGGGTAAGCAGGCAGGGCCCCAGGATGGCACAGCACACTGCTGGAGGGCCAGGCTTAGGGATGTACGTGCTCATGGTGAAGGAATGGGGAGTTGTGGGTTGCTCAGTAAAGGGGGCCTGGGAATGTGTGGGAGGGAGGACTGCTGAGGGAGAATGTGACAGATGAAGAGTGACTTCTGGAGGACTCCCACCAACCAGGCTACTGAACTTCCAGGTAAATGAGGGGGCTGAGATTGGTTGGTTTGGAGAAAGGAAACGAGGACCTTTCATGGCCAAACCAATACACCTGCCCACATGGGAGACGTGAGATGGGATTGTTGGTCTCAGCCACCACTTCCTGGCACACAAATCCATGGCTGGGGAGCTCAATCACAGCAACCGCCAGTGAGTGTTGGGGCAGTGGGTGGATCATGTTAGGCTGAGACATGACACTAACCAGCTCACAAGAGAACTAAGTCTGGGAGCAGATTCTTGGGGGGGTTGTGGGCTCTCCCCTGTTGGACTGCCATACCAGCTGGTTTGCTCGAGGGCTGGGGGTGGTGACAGGCTGAGCTAGGCATGACATGGAACTTAACAACAATCATGGGTACTGGGATTGGGAACAGACCGGGCTGGTTTAGACCACAGCACCCATAGGTGCACATAAGAGTTCAGTGTGGGTCAAGCCAGGTTACGACATTCATCAGCACACACAAAGGCTGAGACTGGGGGACAGGTTGTGTCAGGTAGGGGGCTAGCACCCACTGGCATGCATGAGACTCAGGACTGGGAGTAAGCTTGGTGGGGGAAATTCGGGAACTCCCCTGGTGGGCCATATTTTCTGCTAATAAGCATATTAGTCAGCTGGGTATTGGTCAGGCTGAGCAGAGCTGCTTCACTTATCAGCAGGTACATAGGTTGATTCCAGTGGGGGAAGAGAGAGGTTGCAAACAAGGCAAGGTAGACAAGGCCAGGAAAAAAAACATAACACACTGGCATGTGTAGGAACCAGGATGGGATCTAGACCATGCTGGGCTGGGCTGGGCTGGACTATCATACCTACTAGTTTGCATGAATTTGCCAAGGATGAGGGCAGACAGGATAGGGCTAGGCTGCAGCAGCCAGTGGCAAAGGCCAACCCAGGGGATGGGTTATGCCAGGTTGGTCAGAGGAACCACCAGTGGATACAAGATCTGTAATTGGGAATAGGCTTGGTCGGGGAGCTAAGGGGATGCCCTGGCTGGGCTGTGGTTCTGACTTGTGAGTGCAAGAGCTGTAATGGGGTCAATGAACTGGGCTGGACATGGCTGTAGCATCCCTCAACATGGGAGTGTGCATTGGGTCTGGGGTATGGCATACTAGGCTATGTTCTAGCACCCTTTATTTCTCACAGGAGCCAGGCTGGGTAAAGGACATGCTAGGCTAGGTCTCGGCACCCACTGAACTGTGTGAGCATTGGAAGCTGGTTCTGGGGGTGGGCCAAACATGGTTGGGCTGTAGCACCCAACAGTAAAAGCTAGAATGAGTGTGGGCTGGTCAGGCAAGGCTGCTGTACCTGCCAGGACAGGAGGTGGGCCAAGACAGGCTAGGCCAAGAACCCACTGGCATGCATGAGATCAACCTGATAGAGGAACTTGGAGAACTCTTATGTCAGTATGCAGGCCCTGCAGGTGGGCACAAGAACCAAGACTGGGAGCAGCCCAGGCCAGGAACGTTACAGCTGACATATGTGTGGGTCAGGTCTGGGTCAGTTCATAATACCCACTGGCAAATGTGAGAGCCAGGACGGAGTGCAGGACAGGCCGAGTTCGGCCACGGCACCAGCCGGTTCACTGGAACTGGGGAGCAATCCCAGTACCCATCAGCATGAGTTCAGATTGGAGGCAGACAGGGCCAAGCCAGGCTGCAGTACCCACTGATGAATGCCAAGGTGAGGCGAGCCATGCCAATCTGAACTGCAGCACCAACCAGCACATGTAAGACCCATGATGGGGGGCAAGCCCAATAGGAGGGCTACGGGGGCTCCCCTGCTGGCCCACTGCTCCCAGTGGTGAGTGTGAAAGCTGGAACTGGGGGGCAGACTAGGCCTACATGTAAGCTGGGTTATGGGGAGAGCCATACTGAGCTAAGTGACCATATCCACTGGTTTATGCATGAGCCAGAGTATGTGTTCCAGGGGCTGCAACCACCAGGGTGTATATACCCTGATATGGGTGATGGATTAAGCAGGACCCCATACTGGCTGGCACACACAGGAGTTTAGTCTGGGGTCACCGCTGGGCAAGGTTTCTTTGGGGACTTCTCCTCAATTGGACCACTGAACTCCAACCACAGGGAAAATCACAGCATTTGTGGTATGACAGTGGAGTGCATGTGTCAGAACTAGGTCTCATAAGTTGTTAAAGCCTGTGCAGTGGAAGGCATACCAAGATGCGTGACAGCCAGTTCATTGGGCCCTACAGAGGACATCTAGTAAGTACCATAGTAGAGGGTGGAGGGCAGAACAAATCGAACAGCTCTCCCAGCCAAGCTTTGACGAGTATCTGGGCAAATCAAGACTTTAAGGTGCACCATGTCAGCCAGTGGACCTTAGAAGGATTTCCTCAACACTGGAGCAAGGTAATCAACAGGATCTTATAACTACCAACACCACTTAAGCTGTACCCTCGGAACATGCTCTGCATCGGGGACACTAGGGAGACATAGTGTGGCCATCCCCCATCCCCAGGTACTGATGCAGTTGAGCTGCTGGGAGCAGCCCTCTCCCTTCTCTTCCAACTTTCTCCAGATACAGGAAGATAAAAGGAGATTAGAGGTAGTTGTCTTACCCACTTTCCCCATCCCACAATCCTCCCCACCCTAATCAGTGGTCCACATGGGCATGTATCCTTTTTTAACTTCTTAAAATGTAAACACTGTCAAAATAAATTTATAATAAAAAATGTTTAAGTCTCAGAACCAGCACTGTGGTGTTGCATGCTAAGCTTCTGCCTGTGGTGCTGGCATTCCTATATGGGCCCTGTTGAGCCACAGCTGTTCCAATTCCAATCTAGCTCCTTGTTAATGCACTTGAGAAACAGCCGAGGATGGCTCAAGTCCGTGCCTGCATGTGGAAAATCAAAAGCAGCTCCTGGATCCTGGCTTTGGACAGGCCCCACTCTGGCTGTTGTACTCATCTGGGGAGTGAAACCGCAGATGCAAGACCTCTTTGTTTCTCTCTCTGTAAATCTACCTTTAAGTTTAAAAAAAGAAAGTTGAAAAATATTTTTTCACAAACATTGCAAAAGGACTAGTATTTATAAAGTTGGCACTGCTGTTTTCATATCACCATAACTGAGTTTATCCTTCATCAGCTCCCTCAAGAGAGTTGGGGCATATTTAGATTGTAGGTTAAGATCTATGTGGAGATTCCAGAATTATACAAATTATAGCTTGTGTGAGCATGTTTAATTCAGTGCCCTCAAATAACAATGACGTCTAAAGGTTTTTGGAATCATCATCCATTTTTTAAAAATTGCATATTCATGTCATTTGTCTTTAAAGCAGTTCAAAAAAGAAAATGGTATTTTTGACTTTTCTTGGATAAATAAATTCGTGTTATGGTCATTTGTGATGGTAAGTTGTGTTATGATGCTAATTGTAGGAGCATTTTTTTAGGAAGCATAAAAGTAGCTCTAGTTTTATTTTATATGTAGCCTTCATATAAAGGAAATTTGTTAATAAGTACTGCTGTTTCCATTTCTTTTTTGAAATGTATTCATTTTTTTATGCATAATCATCAGGATGATTTTGACACTGAAGCTAAAATTGAAGAACAGGAAAAACTCTCTGGATTACCTGACTCTGGAGGTAAGATATGAATGAATACAAAGACTAACTTCTAATTAAATTTAATGCCATTTTAACTTATTTTTTTTTTTTTGGCAGAACCAAATTTGATTTGTGAGGAGGGAGAAATCATGAGTTGTAAACAAAGTCCAGATCTTTCTGTTTCTCATAATCAGGTACAAACTTGATGCTTCCATCACATTTATAATTTGTTCCTCAGATTTTCTTATTGTCTGTTTCTTAAAATAGACTTAGGTGTTTAGGACCTGGCACAATGGTTAGATTGGCTAATTCTCTCCTTTAAAGGGCCAGGATCTCATATGGGCACCTGTTAGTGTCCCGGCTGTTCACTTCCCATCCGACTCCCTGCTTAATGGCCTGGGAAAGCAGTGGAGGACAGCCCAAGGCCTTGGGATCCTGCATCCACATGGTAGATCCATAAGAACCTTCTGGCTTCTGGCTTTGGATCAGCTCAGCTACAGCTGTTGCGCTCACTTGGGGAATGAACCAGCAGATGGAAGTGCTTATTCTCAGATTCTCCTTCTCTCTGTAGATCTGCCTTTAAATTTCTTTCTTTTTTTATTGGAAACTCAGATCTACAGAGAAGGAGAACCAGAGAGAAAGAACCAACTCAAAGTTGCTGATTGTTATTAGTGCAATATGATGAGACTAAATTTTATGTTATTAAATTTTTATTAAGAATTTTATTGTTATATGTTTTTGTGTAATTCTTTCCTTCTCTAGGTTGAGCAGTTAGTCAATAAAACATCTGAACTTGAGGTGTCTGAAAGCAAAACAAGAAGTGGAAAAATATTTCAGAATAAAACGGTAAATATCTCCTTAGATTTATTTTCCATTCTAACTTTATAATTTCCCCTCACATGTGTTCATTTTGACACCTTGTTTATTGAGCCTATGTTTATTTAATATCTACTATCTATCAGATATTTCACTGAGTGCTAGGGATATAACCTGAAAAACACGTTGTTCCTGATCATATCTAAAATTTTAGTAACTAAAGGTAAACAAGCAATGTATACAGGCCTACTTGACAAGTCTGAATAATCTGATTGAAGCACCCAGAAGAAATGGTTAATTTGACTTAAGGGACACTGAGAGTAAAGTCTAAGAAGGGCTTTGAAAAGTGTTGCTATTAGCCAGACTCCCTTTGGAAATGTATTTCAATGCCAGAAAATCTCATGTTATATATAATAAAACATCACAAATTTAACTTTAGTATAGATCTTGTAGAAAGAGAATTTCATGTTCTTAAGCAAAAAAGGAAAGAAAAAACTCCCCTCATTTTTTGGGTTTGCATTATGCAAATTAGGATGTCATGCTGCATTTACAGTATTCTCAAAGGTTCAGAGGTAAAGAAAAAGTATTCTGGAAAATATGGCATAAAAATGTTGTACCCAGGCCCAGCGCGATGGCGCAGTGGTTAAGGTCCTCGCCTTGCACGCCCGGGATCCCATATGGGCGCTGGTTCTAATCCCGGCAGCCCCGCTTCCCTTCCAGCTCCCTGCCTGTGGCCTGGGAAAGCAGTCAAGGACAGCCCAAAGCTTTGGGACCCTGCACCCGCGTGGGAGACCGGGAAGAGGCTTCTTGTGCTCACTTAGGGAGTGAATCATCGGACGGAAGCTCTTCCTCTCTGTCTCTCCTCTCTGTATATCCGCCTTTCCAATAAAAATAAATAAATAAATAAATCTTAAAAAAAAATGTTGTACCCAAGCTTAGAGAGCAAACAGCTTGCTTTGTCAGTGGAGGGCTACGATATTTCTTCTCAATCTCCCATTCAGTGATGTCCTTGCTGTTGTTTGAAATTGAACAAGGTGGTAATATTCACATCTGGAAACCAGAAAACACCCAAGGCTTTGTTTCTGTTACAGAACTTGTTAAATATTTACCAGAGTAAGCACTGATTATAGTGAGGCATTCAGGGTGCTTTCCTTCCCTTCACTTTCTCAATGGAGGTTAGAACAGTTGAAATCAATATTCAAACTACTGTGCTGATGAAAGCAAAAGATAATAGAAAGTAAAAGATTTACAACTTTTATTAACAAAATGTTCTACTTAGCTGGTTTCTGTTTAGGATGAATATATTTAATAGCATATAAGGAGAAAGAGAACCATTTAAAATTATTAAACAAGGCTTCCTTGTAATTTAACATTTAGCAAGTTTATGAATGCAAATTCATTTGCACCCAGTGTGATAGCCTAGTGGCTAAATCCTCGCCTTGCATGCACCATGATCCCATATTGGCACTGGTTCATGTCCTGGCTGCTCCACTGCCCACTCAGCTCCCTGCTTACAGTCTGGGAAAGCAGCAGAGGACAGCACAAGAGCCTTGGGATCCGGTACCTGCATGGGAGACCCAAAAGAAGCTTCTGGCTCCTGGCTTCAGATCAGCTCAGCTCCAGCCATAATAGCCAATTGGGGAGTGAACCAGCAGATGGAAGATCTTTCTCTCCTCTCTGTAAATCTGCCTTTTAAAATAAATAAGTAAGAATAAGTAAATAATAAAATGTAAAAATAAATTAAATAAATAAATAGATAATAAAACAAATTCATTTATGAAATTACACATGGTTTTGGATATGAATTTCCTGATTTTGAGAATCATGACTGACTTACAGTTAGGAAAGGGCATTGTTAAGCATGAGAAAATAAGTATGTTCTTTTGAAAATAATATGATAGATAATTGTTATTTTCAAGATTAATATTTTTTTAAAGATTTTATTTTATTTTTATTGGAAAGGTAGATGTACAGAGAGGAGGAGAGACCAAAAGGAAGAGCTTCCATCCGATGATTCACTCCCCAAGTGGCTGCAACGGCCGGTGCTGCGCCGAGCCGAAGCCAGGAGCCAGGAACTTCTTTCTGGGTCTCCCACGTGGGTGCAGAGTCCAAAGGCCCTGGGTCGTCCTCAACTGCCCTCCCAGTCCACAAGCAGGAAGCTGGGTGGGAAGTGGGGCTGCTGGAATTAGAACCAGCACCTATATGGGATCCTGGCGCGTTCAAGGCGAGGACCTTAATCACTACACTATCGTACTGGGCCCAAGATTAATATTTTAACTGCATATATGACCTATTCACAATAGTGGAAAGGTGGGCAAAAGCTAAGTGTTCATTAACAGATGAACACTGATATAATTATACAGTTATATATTATTCAACCATAAAAATGAATGAAGCACCAATATATGCTACAAATTGAATAAACCATGAGAATATGCTGATTAAAACAAACCAATCACAAAAGTTTGCGTGCTACATGATTCCACTCATAGGAAAATCAGACTTGGAAAAGCTATTGAGACAGGAAGTCTTTTTTTTTTTTTTAAGATTTATTTATTGGAAAGTCAGATATACAGGGAGGAGGAGAGACAGAGAGGGAGATCTTCCTTCCGATGATTCACTCCCCAAGTGAGCCGCAATGGGATCCCGGGCGTTCAAGGCGAGGACTTTAGCCGCTAGGCCACGCCGCCGGGCCCTGAGACAGGAAGTCTTAAGGATAGTGGAGAATGAAAGGATATCAGAGTGACAATAAAGGGTTTGAAGCTTTTTGGAATGATGGAAGTATTCTAAAATTGTCTCTGGAGACAATTGCACAACTCAGTAAATGTACTTAAATTCATTGTTTTGTACACTTTGGGATAGATGATTCACACAATATCAGAATCTTTAGAAACCTGTTTTTAAAAAATTGTGTAGTTGCATTTAAGGTTGAAAAATTAAGTGGTGATTCTAATTAGAGAAATAACCAATTAGTAATTATTCTGTTTATGGAGGTAAATGGAAATGAACCAGAAAAATCTTCTAAAGAAAATCGGAAGAGAAACAAACAACCTAAGAAAACAGTAAGTTAAACTTAAGATAATGTATAAGTGGAATAAATGGATAAATAGCATTACTGTAAAATTCAAAATGAAATAATTTGATAATGTCCTTCTATATGTCTTGGAGTTCTGTTACTCAAATCTTAAATTATTTCCTTCCGAAACAACAGGCTGGGCAGGTGTTCGGGGCAGCAGTTAAGTTGTGCGGCCTGTTCTGCTACTTACTGATCCTGACTTTCAGCTCCAACACTCGGGCCCCTGTTACCCACGTGGGAGCCATTCATTTTGAGTTCTAGGCTCCCAGCTCTGACTAACCCCAGCCCCTGTGATTTGAGTCATTTGGGAAATGACCCAGAGGTTTGCAGATAATCTTTTCCTTTCTCTCCCTCATCTTCTTCCCTCTCTGTTGTTCATATATATATTGTTGTTCATATATATATGTGTGTGTGTGTGTATATATACATATATATACATAAATAAAATTCCCAAAAATTAAAAAAATGAAGTGATTTTGAAGATGCAATATATTAATTTTTTCTGTTTATCTTCTGTCTTGTTTCACAAATGATAATAATTAGATAAATTCATAAAATAGAAACCAAAGTTTAAAAAAATTGGTAGAATGAGAATGTTCAGCCCATTTTTTATATTCAACTGAAATTGGGCCTGAAATCTTATCTAAGCTGTCAATAGGCCACAAGTAAAGTAAAAATAAATTTGCAAATACATGTGTTTTCTAAAAATTGCATTTCCTGCTGACCTAAGACCTATAGTTATTTTATATTTGTAACCTTGTTTTACTAAAACAGATGATGTATTTGACATTTTTTGAGATAATTACTCATATTTTTCCAATTAAAATTTTTATTAGTAGTAGGTTGAAATTAGACAACTGAAAACTTAAGATTATTTTGTTAAAAATCAGATATTAAGATGACAATCTCAAAAATATATTTGGTTAATATTGCTGTATATTTATAGAATTTAAGAAGCAAATAGAATTATCTGATGTTACATTGCTACGTTACATTCTTCAATTTTCCCATTGTATTAAGTCTTGATTTTTTTCTATAAAATCATTATTTGTTATTTTCAACGAGTTTAATTTTCTCCAACAAACTAAAGTTTAGTAACTCAGAAATCTTTTTAGGAAGTCCCTGAATCATCATCCTTTTATTTATTATGAAATGTGCATTTGATGTCTGTTGTCAGGCACTGCTAAGTACCAGGATTATAAAAATTGAGACGTAAGTTAGGAGCTTGGCACCATGATGTACAGGCTGAATCTGCCTGAGATGTCAGCAGTCCATATAGGCGCTTTTCCAGGTTGAGTCCTGGCTGCTGCACTTCCAACCCAGCTCCCTGCTAATGTGTGTGGGAAAGCAGCAGTTGATGGTCCAGGTCCCTCCTGCGGGACCTGCAACCTGCAAGAAGCTCCTGGCTCCCAAGCCCTGGCCGTAGTGCCATTTGAGCCAGCAGATGAGCAGATGGAAAATTCTTTCTCTCTCTCTCTCTTCCTCTCTCCTGTCTCTGTAACTCTGTCTCTGAAATCAAACTAAGTAAATCTTTTTTAAAAAATTACTTCCACCATTTTTTTTCACTTCCACTGTGTAGAAAAAATAGAAGATTTATGCTTCCATAGTATCAGGGGAAGATATGTTTCTATATGTAATTCAATTCACAATCTCTTCCCCTTATTTGAGTATTTCGAGGATATAATGTAAAAATCTATCCTACTTCCAACCCCACAAGAGCTCTAAATGCAGACCTTAACTTTGAAATTGTGCATGTGGATGTACACCTTGAGCAGCCATTAGAAGTAATAAATTATTTTATCCTATATTTAAAGAATGCATGTATCCCGTTCTCAGTAGTTATTTTCTTTTGACAGGTACTCCATCACTTTGACTCTTCTAGCCAAGAGTCAGTCCCAAAAAGGAGAAAGTTTAGTGAACCAAAGGAACATTAGTAATTATTTCTTCTATGCATTTGGAAAGTTTCTCAACATTTAAACTGAAGGACACTGTATTACCATGTTAAGGTGTATTTTCCCTCCCTCTGAAAATGTGTGCATAGTTTTAAGCAGTTCTAACATGAAGTTTTTAACTATCATATTGTAATCCTTAATTTTGTGTCAGCTGAGTTGAAGAGAATTTTGTATACAACCAAAAATACAGCTGTCATAATTGATTTCACTCATTATCTACTCAATATTGATCTATCTTCCATTTGTGGTCACTTCATTTAAATATGTATTAATTTTTAAGATCCTCAATTCATTTTTGAAGTAAATAATGTTTTTGTATTAAAATATTGTAGAGGCTCACATCTTACATATGTTTAAACTATACAATTTAACTGGTTGTGTTTGTCATTTTGTTATAGAAATGTTCTTCAATTCTTTGATATAATAATATGATGTATAGGTGAAAATGGGTGCCTTATTTTTTTGCTTGTTCTTACAGTTTTTTTTTACTACAGATCAAAAATATGATTGATTTTGAAGGCCTAGCATTTGTAACAGAATAAAGTGTTTAATATGTGACTTCTTTGCTGGCTTCTAATTTTTATTTATTTTCATTTTGATAGATAGTATTTTACAGTAGCTAAGCACACTTCCTGGAACTCATGAAAGATATTGTGAAAGATATTGTGCTTTTAATGAGAAACATAGGAGCTAACTGCAGTCTTGCTGCTTTCCTTTGTCTTCAAGAAGGAAAACTTAAAACTTGGTGTTTATCTCGTGCTGTTTTTCAGCAGCCATTTCCTCAAAACATACATTATGCATAGACTTGTCAGTAACAAGAGATTATAGGGAATGTTGATAAATATACGAAAGACATGCACCTGTCCTTTGTGTAAACCAGATAGTTCCAGCCAGATCAGGTTTTTCTGGAACTCAGGTTGGGCATAAGATTACTGTCAAAACACTAATTTTAAAATGTTTATTTATTCTTACTTATTGCCTGGATCCCAGCACTTACCAACTCATTGTCTCAGTAAAAGAGTGGCACAGTAACACCTGCTACGTTGAAATTGACCAGCAGAAACTCCACTAGATTAGCAGTCCTCGTTAGCTCACTGGCTGCTTTGATTGGCCGTTTTGAGGGGGTGGAGAGCGCGGCCCTCCTTCCTCTCTTCCACCAAGGTTTCTCCATTGGATTGACCAGCTGTCAGGTTGAACCCAAACCTGCCTCCTTTCGGTTGTGTTTGTCTGGATCGCAACACAATAGCCGAGAGGGAGAGCCTCCCCTTGCAAGCTGTGATTGGCTGGACTCAACCGAGGGGGTTTCTGATTGGTCCAATGAAGAAACACCAAGGTAGGTTGCCTAGTGATTCTTAGGAAGCTGATGTGTTATTCCTTCTTCGCATCGAAGGATCAGGAAGTTTGTGTTCTCTCCGTGGCTAAGAAGTTGTTCACCTCCTAAGACAGGGGTGGGGGAGAGGGAACAGGTGCCCTCCTAAAAAGAGCGCGAACGACCGCCCTCGTGCAGCATAACCCAGGATTCCTATCAGGTAAGCAATGGCAAAATTACATTTCCCAACAAAAAACTCCTTTTTATTTCAGTTTTATGGGGAGAGGGAGATTTTCGTGTGTTTTGTGCCCTTTTAAATTAGATTTTTAACTGCTAAATGTCCAGTGAGTTCCTCAAAGGAGATGCCCCTCTATTGTTTTCCCAGAAGGTTTAAAGTTTCTTGGATTGGGTTAGGAAGCAGTCCCCATTCACGGTGCCAGATAAACTTAGTGCCCTGAAGCATTCATTTCATGGTTCTCTTCTTTCTTCCTTCTTTTCTTGCCTCCCACCAAAAGTGATTTTAAATATACCCTTTTGCAGATTATGTTCTGTAAGTCGCTTCATTTGTATTTCTAGTTTCAATGTTCAGTGCATTTGTCACTCATTTTAACCAGTATATATTTATTGAGCAGTTATAATGATTAAGATGCTAATTGGCTATGGAGAACATAAAAACCCAAGAAGACAGTGTGCCTCCCCTCAAGAAGTTTACAGTTGAGAGAGAGCCATACCAAAAGGACTCTAGTAAATACTTAAAGGAAGCACGTATAGATGAAGTTCTGTGAAAGTACAGGTGAGGGCGAGTTTAATTCTGGCCCATGAACATAGGAGAGAAGATTCACTTAAAGGCTCACAAAAGGTCTTCAGGGGCCCTGGAAAAACAGGTAGAATGGAGAGGAAGAGAAAAGGGAGAAAGCTACAGGAAGGACCAAGGGGCAGAGGCAGGAACAGCGCAGGGCATAGGTATTTGAGAGAGGTTGGATGACAGTATTTACAGGGAGAAAAAGGAAATACTGCCAGGCGGTAGAACTGGTTCCAATTATAGAGGCTCTTAAATATTGTTCTTTGTTTAAAAAGAAAAGATTTTCCATATGCAGTTGCAGCTTGAAAATTTTTGTTGTATGTCATTCTTAAAAATTAGCATCTAGATGTGTATAAAAGCTGATAACTTTAAGCTTTATCGCAGATGATTTAATGCAGTTTCTTTTAACAAAATTTCTTAAACTATGGCCCCTGGTATAAAAAGGCATTGGTGTTTTGCTTTTGTAATTGAGGAAGAATTTGTTATAGTTTAATATTGGCTTTCTGGTTGTGTTTGTTATCAACTGTTATGCAAAGTCTACAGGCTAGCCAGTCGCGACTGGGGGCACCGGGTTTGCTGACCGTGGAATCGCGGTGCATGATTTTCTGAATGTTGTGCTTTAGACAGGTGATCTCCAAATTGAATGTGTAATACGAGTCATTAGTCATTACACAAGCACACATACAGATTTAACTTTTCACCACTCCCTCTAGGAAACAGGTGAGAATGACCACTTTAACTCACCGGACTCGTCGCGCTGAAGTAAGCAAGAACTTTGAAAAGAAGGTAGAAAGTGAGGAAGACTTTTATCCAGAAAGGAAACCAGATGTAGAAGACCCTGGGGATTCTAAGGATATACGCCTCACCCTGATGGAAGAAGTACTGCTCCTGGGGCTAAAAGATAAAGAGGTAATGCTACTAAGTTTGCTGGGCTATCTCGAAGATTCAGATATTAGTACATTTTATGAAGTACCCTGAAGAAATATTTTTGTTAATGCTAAGTTGGCCTTATTGTGTACAATCATCTGGGAGAAGAGTTTGGGAGGGAGGGTGGTATTTTGAAATTAAAGTCCTGAGGTAGAATGATATGAAGTATAATTAGATTTTTATTTGTTTATTTGAAGGGTAAGGAAAGGGTTAGAAAAACAGAGAGTTCCTATCTAGTGGTTCGCTGCCCAAATGCCTGCAACAGCCAGCCCCAGACCAAAGCCAGAGCCCAGAATTCATTCTGGATCTCTCACATGTAAGTGCCAGAACCGCAGTTATTGAGCCATCACTTGCTGCCATACAAAGAGTACACAAAAGGCAGGAAGTTGGAATTGAAAAATGGAGTCAAGGCTCAAATCAAGGGACTCTGATAGGGGATTGCACTTCACCAAATGCTCATTTCTGAAGTGCAATTTAATTCAAAAATTACTCCAGGATTTTAGGAGATACAGATGAGAATAATATACTGTGTCATTTTAGTGCTTGTAGCCTCCCAAGTCGGTTTGATGGTGAAATAATAACTGCTTGCTTAAAAAAGAAACAGGGCCCACAAGTTGAAGTTGTTTTGAGCTTTGGAGAGAAAAAGTCTTAAATAAAAAGACAAGTAACAAGTGTGACTAGCTGTCTTACAGAAATAAATGATGGATAGATTTTTGTAATAAAACAAACAATTTTTTTAATTCTCAAAGATCTTTAAAAAAGTAAATGGCAATTTTAGAAATAAGAATGGTTAAATAGCTCCAGCTTAACATTTTCCCCCTTAATTTTACCTGTATTCCTTGAACATTTGGTTTATAGTAGAATTGGTCTTGAGGAGGTACGTCCTGTCACATAACCAAATATCTTCTGGTTTTTCTATTAATAGTTATCATCCCTTATTTGTTATTTAACTTTCTACTCTATTTTCCTGTCTGTGTTTTTTTCACATGAAGTAAAGAAGACATAGAGATATAATATTTTAAACATGTGGATGTAATATTTTAATTTTCCTTTCTAAGAAATTCTTTAATAAATAGATGTATACTTATTATTAACTTCAGTAGGGAAAACTTATAAAAAGTTAGCTTATATAAAAAAAAAAACCAGATTTGGTTTCCATTATTGTCCTTAGCTAGAAATGAATTGTCTACAAAACTCTAGTAATATATTTTTTTTCTACATTGATTCCTCAGATTTGCATTTTCATTAAATATTTTCCCTTTTTAATTTTTTTATCATGTCAGATTGCTAACCTGAATAAAACTTAAAGGGACTGTTGCAGTTTGTGCATTATTAAAATTAATTTTGGAGACATTTCCTTATGAACTTGACCAAGATAGTGTAATAGACTATTTTCATTCATGCATATGAGGAGTTTCCAAAAAGTTCATGAAAATGCACTTTGTGAAAGAATTGTAGATTTCATAATTTTTTTACCAAAACATTTAATTTCATTTTCCTTTGAACTTCTTACAGTACCCTTCTGTTAGGAAATCTTACCCAGAAGTATATTTTCCTCTTTGAAAATTGATAAGGCTTCAGTTTTATAAAAGGCAAGTAAATGAAAAGCAAACCAACTCTGCAGGAGAATGTCAGCATACCACCATAGATTAGATGGTATAAAACCTGTTTTGAGATGCTTACACAATGCTTGGGGAACATTCCCTGACAGTGGGACACTATAGTAGGACTGAAAGCTACTTGATTTTAGTTTTGAATAGCTAATTTTGATTAATGTCCCAAGGACCTGAACCAGACACTAGAAATATTGCTTCTTTGCTGTAGAGAAATTACCTTTTGACTTGCCTTTGTGTATTTATAAATTTATAATAGTTAATAATTAATACAGTTTTTAGGAAGTAAAAGAACCTAAGGTCTATGGCCATAATGAGTAATACTCAGCATATTGATGATATGTAATATAGAATGGGAAGGTAAAAGTTGTTTTATTTTAGAAGATAGTTGACAGATTTTTAGCTTTTGTTTGCCTCAGAAGGAATGAAATGATAAATCCTTAGATGTAAATAAATGACACATGTAGCCTTCTGGTTTATTTTAGTAGTAGTAGTAGTTACAAAATGTTAGTTACATAACCATATCTAAAAAATACCAAACTGATTTTCAAATCTTTCTCTTTTCCTCTATCAAACTTTTGCATATTTTTGTAATCAATATTTAGTACCATTGGGAACACCCATTTTGTGTTTATTACATCAAAAATTTAAATATAGGGTCCAGTGCAGTAGCTCAGCAGCTTAAGTTCTCGCTCTGAATGCATCAGGATCCCATATGGGCACCAGTTCTAATCTCGGCAGCCTTGCTTCCTATCCAGCTCCCTGCTTGTGGCCTTCCCAGGCAGTGGAGGACAGCCCAAGGCATTAGGACCCTGCATCCACTTGAGAGACCTGAAAGAGGCTCCTGGCTCCTGGCTTCAAATTGGCTCAGCTCCGGCCATTGCAGCTGCTTGGAGAGTGAATCATCGGACGGAAGATCTTCCTCTCTGTCTCTCCTCCTCTCTGTATATCTTCCTTTCCAAGAAAAATAAATAAATCTTTAAAAAATTTAAATATAAAATAGTATATACAGTTGTTGCCCTCAAAAAACTTGCATTGTAACTAAGGAGACAGCAGATTTCTTTTTAAAAGATTTGTTTATTTTAAAGTCAGAGCTACAAGGGGAGAGATAAACAAAGATCTTCCATCCACTGGTTCACTTAATGAATGGCTGCAACAGCCAAAGCTGAGCCAGTCCGAAGACAGGAGCTGGGAGCTTCTACCATGTCTCCCATGTGGAGGAAGGACCCCAAACACTTGGACCACCTTCCACTGCTTTTCCCAGGCCATTAGCAGAGAGCTGGATGGGAAATGGAGAAGCCACAACAGGAACCGGTAACCATAGAGGGTACTGGCATCACAGGTCGTGGCTTTAGCTACTACACCACGATGCTGCCCCAGGATACATTCTTTTTACTTGTAAGCCAAAGACCCATCAACAACAGGGACATGAAAAGAATTGCCCATATATTTAAATGAACATAAATATGTTTCCTGCGTAGAAGAGAATATGCTGCTATACAAACTATGTATTCTCACATAATATTTAATAAAGTGAGGCAGAAACAAATATACATTTTGTGATGGTAAAACTATAAAGAGCAAAGAAGGGGTTACTGTGGTCATTAGGATAGTGATTACTTTTATAAGGAGGAAAGGGGAAGGTAGGGGGTGTTAAAGATTAGAAATTAATTTTTGCATATTTTCTGTTTCTGGATCTGGAATAAGTTTCATAGATCACAATTTTGTTTTGGGCAACAATAAACTCTCTCTCTCCCTCTCTCTTTCCCTCCCTCCCTCCCTCCCTTCCATCATGTCTCCCATTCACTTAACCCTTCCACCATCCCTCCCTTTCGCTTAAAGCAAGGCAAGCCATCATCTGCTGCCTCCCAGTGTGCCTGATAGCTGGCGGAGGATCTGTGAATTGAATTTGATTCGCAAATTCAGGCATTCCAAGCAGGGTCTTTAAAAACATTATTTATTTATTTATTTAGTGATAGTTTCATTAAGTGATAGTTTCATAAGCTCTGGGATTTCCCCTCTCCAAAATCCCTCCCCCACTGATTTGCCCTTTATCATTACAATAGTATAGTCCTTCAAAAACAATCGTAAGGATGGACTGTCTGACATTGTCTGTACCAGCAATATTGGGGAACACTTAAATAGCAGACTGATGGAATTGTAACTCCTTATGAAGAGTTGTGACATGGGAAAAATCAATCGGGGGTGGAAATTGGAGGGAGGGGGTTCCCAGACTATACAAAATTGTATGATAAATTTTTTAAAAAACAGTCATCAGTCCATCGTTCTGCTATTTAAGTGTATCCTGACATTGTAGGCATGGATATGGCAAAGAATCCAGCATTCTATTGTCAAGATATATTTAACAGTTTCACTGGGAGTCCATCTTTTATTTGGTTTTGTTTTTTTTGTTTTTTAAAGATTTATTTATTTTTTATTACAAAGTCAAATATACAGAGAGGAGGAGAGACAGAGAGGAAGATCTTCCGTCCAGTGATTCACTCCCCAAGTGAGCCGCAACGGCCGGTGCTGTGCCAATCCGACGCCGGGAGCCAGGAACTTCTTCCAGGTCTCCCACACGGGTGCAGAGTCCCAAAGCTTTGGGCTGTCCTCCACTGCTTTCCCAGGCCACAAGCAGGGAGCTGGATGGGAAGTGGAGTCACTGGGTTAGAACCGGCGTCCATCTGGGATCCCGGTGCGTTCAAGGCGAGGACTTTAGCCACTAGATCACGCCACCGGGCCCCATCTTTTATTTGGAAGTAGAGATACATACTGCATTGTATCTTCACATCTCGATGTGATGGTCTCTATTATACAGTTCTTCTAGATGACTATATACATGGATGTTTACCTATATATCTATATATGTATTTTGCATGAAGATTGCCTTGTATCAGAGAGAACATATGCTATATGTCCTTTGGAATTGGCTTGTTTCACTGAGCATAATGGTCTCTAGTAGGAACCATTTTGTTGCAAATGGTAGAATTTCGTTTTTTTTTAGTGACTGAATGGTATTCCTTAGAGTACATGTACCACAGCTTCTTTATCCATTCCTCTTTCAATGGGCATCTGGGTTGTTTCCATGTCTTTGCTATTGTAGATTGTCCAAGCAGTGTCATAACCCTTACTACATTAAGTAAGTTATTATTAATATCTTTCAAGTCCTTTTATGCAAGTTCTTTGAACATAAGTAAATGTTTCTCTTCTTTCTAGCTCCATCATATCTATCTACCCTTATCTCTCATTGCTCAGTAGACTTACCACAGTCTCATTTTTTTAAGATTTTATTTTTATTTTAAAGACAGGATGTATAGAGAAAGAAAGGTAAGAAAGAGTGTGGTCTTCCATCAGCTGGTTTACTCCTCC